CAATGAAAAATACTGTGAAATTGTTTCCATATTAATACAAATTCAAAGGCATCAGTGTCTTCTGGGGTTGAACCAATTCAACTGAACAGCAACATAAGGATGTGCAGAAACGGATACACTGTACATATTCCCTTGCGATATTGGTTGAGCACAATGTACATATGTATGTTAATATACATACATATATGTTATTGAAGGGAGCTGTCTGGGCAAATGAAATTATAAAGAAACATCTATGTTGAGCTTTCTTTAAGTTGATTTGGTGTCTAACCTGTTATTGCAACGGCGGTTTGCTTTGTGAGATTACTGTTTTTCTCCAAATGTGAGAGCATATTATATGGCTTTACTGAATCTGTAAATGAGATGATCAGGTGTGTTTGTTGTTTGTTCCATTCATATTTACAGTCGGATCAGTGTACAACAAAAAATGTATAAAACGTAAGGCATGCAAAATAGTGAATTTAACTTTCTTAACCAACACTTTCATAATGTGGTCGAGTACTCGGAAAATCTTGAATGCGGCAATGAGTCTGAGAGTCTGATCGAAGCCCGAATGATTTTCAAGTAAATTCGTTTAAAACTGTTACTTTTTTGACTAAACAATTGCCGAATAATTACTACAACTTTTATGTTTGTTAATTCTATTAGTTTCTTGTAGAAAATATAGAAATTCGGATAATTATTATTCGTTGCTTTTTGAAAATAACAATCTTTGAATTTGAATGATTTAAAATTCGAGACCTATGCAAAACGAGCAGGCGGCGAGCAATGATAAAATTATGAACAGCTTGGATCAATGATTATGTTATTTTATAACTCAAATATTCAAACAGAATGAAATTAGAAATCTTTCAAGAACGTCTGCGAGACAGCTAGTTTTTTTTAGTTGTATCTCTCTGCAAAACAAATATATAAATATATATTTGTATATATAATATAAGCAAGCGATTATCAGTTGGTTGTACCAATCGAAAACGAACGAGCTAGAGATTTAATTAAAGTGATTATTTAACAAGTGAATGTATGGAGAATATTGTTTATCAAATGCTGAATGCTGAAGTATCGTATATCCGCCCAAGTTATGCTCATGTTTATCTTACACTGCCTCAGCCCGTTCGTACCTACGTCTGGGACATTATCCCTATCGATATCGGGCAAATGTGACACAACCTGGTGGGGTGCATTAAGTTCGCACTGCTGTAAATCGTTGTCGGCGCCTTGCACTGTGGTTTTTATTTTGACTAGCTGAGCTACGTAGGTAGACAGGACATAATTGAAAATTAATCAAATTGCATTTATCGTGTCGTTGTGCAGATAAGTACAAATATCCAGTGCGTATGCAAGATTTGTCGAATTTCCTGTTGCATCCAAATTTGGATCACCGTTTAATGTTTTGTTTTTCGCACTGAGTACTTGGCTTTTGAACAAATCATAGGCTACATATGCATGTATGTGTGTCACGAGGGTGCATACTTACTTCCGTATCCGGCTTCCTCGTTAACCATTGAATTTGGAGTGCGATAAATTACGTTGTTGGGCATTAACGTCTCGCCGTGTCCCAGGACGAGCTGTCGTTGCTTCTCCCGAGTATTATGCGGAGCTCTTATTTTTGTCTTCTGTTTCTTATTGCCACGACCGGCGGCACCTCCGCTGACCCCGTCTTGCCGCGGACGGTTCAGTTTCTTGCCTTTGTCGTGCATGACGCGCTCTGTGTCTTTCAGCATTTCCTGTCGCCACAACTCAAAGAAATAGTTCGGATCAGTATAGAATTTTAGGCCATCCTTCCCATCGTCTCGATAGACGTTCAGCTTGTCTAGCGGTGGTGGCTTGTCACACTGGGCGTATGTCTCGAGCATAGGGGCAGGCATTGTAGCTCGCGAGAAGATTTGCTGATCAAATATCTTTGCCGACTTGAAGGCCTTCTTTCTTGTAATATCGGTGAGTGGCACCTCCTCCACGGTGCTGTCCAGCTGGGTCACCTTAATTGCCAGACGATCGATGCGTGCCTGCAGAGAGTTCGCACGATCCCCAATACTTCCAACGTCTCTAGCCAATTCGCCAAACACATCTTCGGCGTGCTTCGACAGCGATGACAGCTGCCTTATGATATTTGTGAGTGTGGTGTTTGTTACCGTCTCCAGCTCCACCGACTGCAATTCATCTTGCTGGTACACGGATCTAGCCACATGAACGGGCTCAATGGATCGCTTCGGCAGCGGCATCCTCGGCAAGTAATGAAAATCTCCAACTTATCACAACCGGGTATTAACGTGTCCTCATTGACTTGAATAGAAAATACAAATTATTTAAAGGATTAACATTTAATCGAATTAGTTGGTGACCAGCAGCAACACCAAAGCTGTTTTTACATATATTAATGTACTATGTATGTATGTATACATAGGTTTCATGGGTAGTCTAAAAACGATTTTCATTCTTTATTAAATGAATATCCATTATCACATAAAGTCTTCAAACTAAAACATAACTAATATGACCTTTGCAGTCTTCTTGAATACGACTGTAATGGCTATTTCTGGCACATTATTCTTTGGAACTAATTCAATAGTAAATGTTATAGTCACACATTTTGATTTTGCATGCACTGTTTTAACGCCGTTGACACAGCCTCCTTGCGCATTTAACATCTTCAACATATTTATTGGAGCGCTCCGCTGGACCACACCCCACAGATATTTTCTATGTTGTGATAAGAGACCGAACTGAGCACAGTTTACTCGATACGCCCAATTAAATGTTATATGACTCGCTGCACTGTTTGCACTGCATGCACTCACCAACGCAAATTAATCAACGCTCTAAGCCTTGGTTTGCTATACATACATATTTACACGTACCTGTACATATGTATGTATGTATATATATATGTGCATGCTGATATATATTTACATATGCAAATATGTACGTAGGAATCTAAGAATTTTTCTGCATTCTTATGTACATGTGCAGATACATTTTCACTAAATCGACACATTATTCATACGTGGTTATGATCATTTAGGATGGCACTTTCTTTTTGCACTGGTTCAGTCATCACTTCAATTGATTTAATCACACCTTTTTTTCCAATACACTCACCGCCCGTCACTCCATTCGTTTAGCGCTACTCAAAAAAATCCATCAAACAGCGGATGGCGGATGTTGCGGATGAAATTTTTCAATATTTCAATTTAATTTGCAAGAAACTGCTCACAAATTCACAAATATTGGCCCTTTTTGTTGAATTTTATTTTTCCACACCTTTATTGTAGTGGTGTGCACTTGGTAGACAATCGATATTGTCGATAGACTATCGATGTTTTTGCTGGAAATAGTGCCAAGTGCATCCCTGATAAACATACTAAATCCTATGTATTATCGTGTATCCCAATATTATGGACACTAATCTGCCTGATTTTATTCAAGTGAATCAAGAAACTAGTTGCAAAAATTTACAGTCTATTGCCTACTCTTAACTAACTCTCCTATATGGTGACTACCACTAGCCAAATAAGTAACGTTCATACTCTTAAATTGCAAAATGAAAGCAAAATTTGTTTGAAAAAAACTTACGAGGCTGGAAGTGCGTTAGTTTTTGTACTTATGCAAAGTCGACAATTTTTGAGTCCAAAATATCGTTACTGGCGTTACTCAACTTACCATTATATTGTCTGTGCACTAACCATATTGTTAATTGATGTTCTAGTTTGTACAATCGGAATGTTCTAACAGTATTGCATGAGAAAATGAAATAGAAATGCCTGCATTAAAGAATGATAGGCATACATTAAACTACACTGGAACCCCAAAAAAAACCACCTAATCTCAGGAAGAATAGAACTCTGGGAGCTGTGTCAGAAAAGTCTCTGGGACACTTCATTTGTTTAGTCTGAAACGTCTGTATACTTTATTGTTTCTATCGACTATCGATAAGTCCTATATTATTTAGCAGCCCTTGTGTGCATAACACCTCTGTTTCATCGTGCATTTTCTTGGTAAGTTTTCGCATGTTCTTTTAATCTATTAGTTTTTAAATTTAAATGCTTACAGATCAAGCGAAAATATGGCGAGTTTAGCTACAAAGGGTTCGGGACTTGTAAACAGTAAGTTATATCGTTTAAAAGCTTATTTTGTGGAAAAAATCCATATTTTCATACCAATACCGAATTATGTAATGAAATTTTTTGCAGGGCTACTTGTTCAGGCAAGGCCTCAGCTTGATGTTTTCTTGAAATACGCCAAGGTGGAACTAACTCCACCAACGCCAGCCGATATTCCAGCGATTCGTCAGAGCATTGGCAATATTGTGAAGGGAGCTAAAACCGGCTCGTACAAGAATCTTACCGTTAAAGAGGCTTGGTTAAACACCCTCATTACCGCGGAAGTCATCTTTTGGTTCTATATTGGCGAATGCATCGGTAAACGCCACATTGTTGGATATAATGTTTAAATAACCCATTTCCAGCTGTGTAGCCAACGAAATGAAAAAATGCTTGTTTCTAGTAACTAAATAAAGTGAAATAACACAGAAAAGGTTACTGAGAACTCCGAAAACGATTATCGGGCTTTTCCAATCGACAATGTCATTTACGGAATATGCAATAATCAGATATGGGCGTTTAGGAACATATATTCTTGGCTTTTATCAATGTTTTTAAGGTTGCAACATTTAACAAAAATCTCGGTCATTTCGAACTTGGAAGTGTGAACGTATTTTGTTTTTGGTATATTTCTGGGTATGTGTGCTTCTGGAATATGTTTTGTTAGCAATTCAATATAAACAAATCTACTCAATCTTGTTTAGAATTGAATGAGGGTTCGAGTAAAATTGCAGTTTTAAGGCTGAGAATCCTAACTAGCTGGCAATATTAAACAGAAGATCAAAGTCGAGGAAAATTATTTCAGATTTACGGTATATTTACAGTATATTTTGAAAATTAAAGGGTATATTTCCGAAAGTCTGTCGGTATATTTGATCGATAATTCCGCGGTCACACTGGTTACTATAGAAAAATTAAATTAAATTAAAACAAATTCCATACCCCACAGCTTTCCTATGAGCGTAATGACCGCATACAACCAACGTCTGCAGTCACAAAATCTCGTGCATATGCTGCAAAATCGTGAATCGTGTTACACTAGAATTGGAAGCAAAATAAATCAAAGCCCGAACCTTTCCTATGAGCGAGGATTCTACAAATGCATCACGCCCTGTCTTACAATAGACTCTGTGGCAATTCCACCTGTTTATCTACGAAAATTTACACCTGACGGGAGCAAGCTCTTAGCCTTTTCGCTCGATCAGAGAAGCTTGCACGTTTACAAATACAAAGGCTTCGGCGCAACAGGCGTGGGAGAGCTAATTCGCGAAACGGATGTCGGAGAAGTCGAGTGCTACATGGGCGGGAACAGGGTACCAGGGAACACACTGAAAAACACTATATTTGATAGACTATTCGCAACCAATGATGTTCGCATTCTGCGTTTGTGTCAGGGCGACTATTGGCGCTTCTATCTGCACCGTGAATTTAGTGTTTTCCTGGAAAACGGACGATATGTTTTTCTTGCGGCAATGTCCATCCTGCATGGTGCGCTAGCCACAGCAGATTATGTTAGCTATCCAGATCTCTTTGACAAACTAGATGCATTCTCGTACATATTTTTTGTTGTGGATTTGGAACTGGGCGTAGTCACTGATACACTCTTCCTGCCGCAAGATTCAATTGTTATTGCACATAATCATGGCATTTCGGTGCACGAATCTTCGATAGCCATCATGTCGAAGCTATATCAGTGTATATATATCTATGAGCTGGTCGATGGCCGCCTGGTCAAACGAGAGACAATTGGTCCTCGGCCAAGGGGCTTCATTGACGAAGGTCCCTTAGATATGGGTGTTTTGGATGCCAATACAATTTTGCCAATTACACACATAAAGCAACGTGTACTGAGCTTTTTATATCGAAAAATTGACTCAACGAGTTCAAGATCAAGCAAGAAATATCAGGATTTCTACAAGAACTTCGACTTTGTAAGTATATTTGTTTGAATACCTATGTACATAAATCTCATATGGTTGACATTTGAAAAGTTTTGCGTTCTTTTAGTTGGAGCATATGATAATGGAAAAGATGCAATTGGTTAACAGGGACCTGATCTTGTTGCGTTTTGAAGAGCGACCAAAAGACAACGAAACTACGCCGCTGTTGCCGTTGGGCGAGATCCACACACCTCGCCGTTTTTATGTTTTCTACACAGTACTTGACGAGCAAGTTGTGGGAGTGTATCAGGACGATTCTGTGGAGCTTCTACAAATTATCCTGCAATTCTATGACCAAATGCGTAACGTGCGTTCGCAGCATACTGGAGATGCACCTTCATTGCCACCGCAATTTTTCCTTAAGCAGAATTTTGTAGATGCCAACAAAACGATTCCATTTATGCGACAAGCGGCGTTGAGATTTAATCCAAGCGTACCTGTTAGTACTCAGAGCTTTTCACCAACACCTTATCTGAAATACAATGAATTCAGCTACGATGATAGGCTCATCTCCCCGCTGGAGCGTCCAAAGCCGTGCTCTGCTGATCCCATTGTTTTCCGGGATCGCACCACAAAGCTGGTCAAGTTCCGATTGAGCGCCAAGGCGCGAACGCCAAACAATCCGCTGGCACCGCGTGAACTGTGTGCCTTTATATGCCATCCCTTTGAACCACTTATATTAAGCATACAAAAGTATCTACACATATACGCATACAACATACACCTTTACAATCAAAGTACGGTTGTTCGAAACGAGAGTGCCTGATGAAACGGAATGTAAAAGTGATTTTTCCTACTTATGCAATAATGTGAATACACCTCTGGACAAAAATTGTATCTTAAGAACGGCTGTGCAGTTGTGATTCCGAAATATACATACATTTGTATGCAGATTCAAAGAAACTCGCTCCTGAATTATTTTCTTAAAACACAGTTTATAATTTGTAGATTAATCCGACAGTTGTGACCCATCTTCCGAAAAGCAGATAGAGGATTACGCTAGCGCTGCGCATATCCCCGGTTGCCATTAATCTACGTTAAATTAAACAAACAATATGTCTGCATAAACATTCATAGATGCATGAACATTTATTTCACATTCCTAATTTGTATGGTGTCCGTCTTCGTTGTATTCCTTGTTGACTTTTAGAGAGTGATTTATTACACTTGAGGCTGGTGGTTGTGGGCCCTGTCCCGGAGCGACAGGTGGTTGTTGACTTGGTGGTCCATTATAGTTGTTCCAGTTGGGATTTTGACCTACAGGCGGAGCCGGTGCCGCTGGCGAATTCCCAGGATATGGTGGATACGGTGGCATAAACTGGTAATTGTAAGGATAACTGTTCGGCTGGTAAGGCGGCATGATCTGATTGTACGGATATGGGTTGTAGTTGTTTTGTGGGTATGGATAGGGATACGGATTGTACGCGTTTGGACTCGGATACGCCGGATAGTTATATTTGTTCTTGTTCTTCTTTGCTTTGTATTTATATTTATGCTCCCCACTGCTGCTGCTGCTGCTGTCGCTGTCACTGTCGCTATCTGCGCGGACGCTGCCTTCGTATACCCATCCAAGGGTAAGTACCACAAGGATACAGACCAGAGCTGTTTTATTTTTCATTGTTTTAACAGCGGAACGTTTGAATATTATGAGCTCCCAGTTCTAACTAAATGAATGGCATGAAATAACGCTATAGGGGCGAGAGAAACAATAGACGTACGCGTGTAGGCAGCTTCGATAAGGAGAAACTGGCTAGCTACGACCACAAGATACCCTTTGCTGCTCTTAGTACTAAAATGATGTGATTTAAATTTAAAGCGAAAAATAATAAGATAAGGGATTCCAGAAGTTCCCACGACGTTTTTTTACACTATCTGGTCTCATTGTTATAGCTTAAAATCAGTCGAAATTGAACAGTAAATTATTTAATTGTAATTTCTAAACTGCACGCAGTTCAATGTCATCTTCTTATCATCACGGCAAGGAAAGGATCTCATCCTATCAAGTATTATGTTAAAAAAAAGTGTACTTTTTTTGAAATAATTGTCTCAATGAGACTAAATTGTAGATTTACCAAAGTCAATGTTCCGGATGTTGTTGACATCGAATAGAATCAGCATTCTGGAAAAACCCCGTGTCTTTCCTAAAATGCTCTATTTTTAGAGGTATAATCTAAGATTTGCTGATGTTTGTCCTCTTTTGGCTAAAGTTTGTATTGCATGAGACATGAAAAGACACAGAATAATGAATAGAGATGGTTCTTTTCGGTCTGCCCTAGTACACTTATTTTGTAGTACATTTTTTTTTTTTTTATGTTTTATGTTACCGCTCTTTGTAAAGGTGGAAATCGCTACGTCGAGATATGTAACTTGTTACAGTTTTACTCCAATACTTACCTGGCGTAGAGGTTATGATCTACTCATGCTAGAATTTTGTTTAAATTTTTAAAGTCGCTGGGCCTTCAGTGTGACCGCGGAATTTGTCGTACATTTACGTACATTTCAACACACGTATAGAATGTGTATTTACATACACGTGTCATCTTCTCATAATCTAGACGTCTAAGGTGTCTAAGACTGCGCAGTGACCATACCGAGTAAACTTTTTTTATATGAGTATATTTGTATCGGGGTCGACAAGCGTCTGAAATGAACTAACCTAACCACTATCAGTACAGCGGAAAGTACAGAAGGAAATTGAATATTGTGTTTTATGTGTAATTTCAATATTGGAACCTTCTTCCAGCTCGAACACAAGCCCGACAAAACCCGCAGAAAATCGCATCTGTCTGGGATTCAGCGGACACTTGATGTCATAGAATTAACTGATGGCAGCTGATTATATGGATATTATAATTTATTAATTTAATATATAATACCCTTTACTCATTTTATAAAACTGAAGATAGAAACCGCCAAAATAATCATTAATAGACTTACATTATCGCACACAAATATCGATATTTTTGTGTTCGCAGCTAGTCTTAGTCTTATCAGTAGTTTTTAAGGTTGCTAACTTTAAGCCTAGTACCTGTGACATATTTTTCTAGCGGCAGGGTGTGACCAAAGGTGTAAAGCGCATTCCGTACGCGTTCTCTTCTCAGGAAAATGTGTTGTTTTGTTTACTGTGTTAGGGATGAATGGGCTAAGGTGGAATTAGCAATGAGCGCCTAGTACTCAATAACCCTAAGATAAGTGCTATGGCAGCCCAGTTATGCATCCAGACTGCTGTGATTATAGCACCCAATTGTATGGTAATAATAAGAAAACTGACCCCCAAACAACTCGGTGCATTCGGTTTCCCCGTGTCGACCCAGGATTTGATGAATTTTGTACCTGCATCGGATCACCCTTATTCGAAACAAAATATAAAGATTTCACTTCTGAAGCCAGACTTGAAGTTTAGTCACAGACATCAATCCATAAGAATAAAATCACGGAAAAGAATCGATAGTCCCGATATTCGTTCGGGCCACAGCGTCCATCAAACAGCTGCTTCACGAAGCAGAAAAATTAAAACAAGCAAACAAATTTAAATTTAAATTCAATTTAAATAACTTGCAAGTATGTCTAATCAATGGGAAGTTGTTAGCAAGTCCCGCAAACAGAAAAATCTGGAAAAAAAAGTTAGTGCCCATACGGAGCAGAAGCGTATTGCAGCTCAATTGCCAAAGCTTGAGGATCTCTGTAAGTACTTTCAATTAGTTGACGTTACATGGGGCTTAAATTCACCCATTCATCCATTACGTTCTCGCAGTGCCAACCCAGCAATATCGCAATTTGTTCGGCTCTACCAATAACAACAACAACTACAAGTCGAATTCGCCTGCAAAATCTAGTTCAAGTGCCTCATCATCGAAAAACAAGTCGCCGGTCAAGAAAAACGCCACGAAAACCATTACGTCCGGAGGGAGTAGTGGAGGCGTGCCAAAAACGAAGAAGCAGTTGCCAGCTAAGCCCAAAACACTAGAACAGGCCCTGAAGCATATAAGTCCGGATGATTTTGCTGCTCAGCTGGAGCAAGTAAAACTTAGCTGTCCCGGCTCTGAGTTGCGATGGCTCAGTCATGTAAGACACGCGAAACTGTAATGCCTTTAATATTTCTGGTTAAATCTCCTTACAGATTGCCCTTTATTTCAATGGAGCCCTGTCCTATGACTGCGATCCTGTATTCTCTGGACGTTCTTCTCAGTATCCTAGTAATCTAGCGAGTGCTGGACTTCAAAAAATTGTTGTTGACTTCCTAGGCAGCGTAGGCGAGTCAAATCTGGAGTATTTCTTCTACTCTCTATTAGACGGTATGACTTCGGATCTCAACAATAACCAGACGGTGGTTGGCTACAAGTTTATGCTGCAGTTAATAGGCCAAGCATATCCGAGCATTTGCTCTAAAAACTTTGCGAAGACCGCTTTACTGAGAAATTGCTATCAAAATAGGAGCAACATTTGCTTAAGTATTTTGTGGGCCATTGGCCAGGGCGGCTATAGATCACTAAATGAGGGAGTTAAAGTCTGGCAGAATTTAATGCTACCTAATTTGGAACTGAAAAGCTACTCCAAATTTGTAGTGGAGTACATCGAAAGGGTTCTTAATACAGCAGGGACCTCCGAGGACACGTTGCTGCTTAATCAGAATGAATTTTTTGCCACCTACAACGCACTTAACGCTCCCTATAATAATCTACCCAAGGAGCTTCAGCTAAGCCTGAAGCGAAGTGCAAATCAGTTGCTGGTGAGTCAGGATGATACTAGAGAGATATCCTGCCATTGACTTGTATTCTTTGTTTGTATTTACAGCAAAAATACATTGCCAGTCCGGTTAAGCATGCGAATATCTTCTTGACGCTCTTTCGCGACATTACGACTGTAAGTAAGCCAGACAACGAGATTGAAGGATGCTTGAGTTGCCTTTCCAGCAGCGGCGGCGATGATTGCTTCAAAGTTTGGCGAATGAACTATAAAAAGCAACAGTTGGCAAGCTACAAGCTACTGCAAGCTATAGGTATGCGCTTGCATTAATACACAAATATATATCTTAAATATTATAATTTTAAATATTTCAGACCAGGACTGGGAGACTTCTACTAATTTACTGGCGAAATCACCAGCATTTCACTATTTTCTACAAGACTTGCGGCTTTCTAACGAAGAGCTGCAGTCAAGCAAACGGAAAGAAAATCATTTAATCATTAATGATTTAATGGAAGTTTTATCGGTGAGTTATCTATTATATTCACTTGAATTTTCCGCGTTTTCGACATTCGTTTTCCAACACTTTACAAGAAGTTGTTGGTAAGTTTAGGTAGCATTCTAGTACCCTTCGGGGGAAGGATATCCACGAAGTGAAGATATGTATTAAATCTCAGGCTCCAATCAATGCAAAAACAAGTCAATCTCACTTTAAAATGTTAAAAACATGTTTGGAAAACATAATTTTAATATTAATTAATAAAAATAGGGTATTTAAAGACACGTACTACTGGTTGGCCTGCAACAGATTGTCAAGTAACGTAACATACCATTCCCACTTACGGGTAGTTTTATGGTATTTCTTTCGTTTGGTTGACGTTTTTCTTTTGATCCTGGTTGAGAATAGATTAACAAATCGGATAATCCTAACCAGCTAGTAATATTAAAAGAACATAAAAATGTAGGAAAATCATTTACAATTTACGGTATATTTGCGGTATATTCTGAAAATGGGAAGGTGAGGGTTGTGCCGTATATATTAGAGAAAATCCGCGGTCACACTGAAACGAAGGTATAAAAAAAAGATTAATGAATTTCTAAAGTGTTAATGGTTTTAGTTAGTGCTAAAAAGATTGAAGTGGGCTAATTAATCGAAGTTGATCATTTTACATACATCAGTTACAGTTTACTTTCACTGAAAACAACCGAAGTTAGCGAAATAAAATAAAGGTTTAGAGGGACGCTGCCAACACGACGTCACTCGGTTGCCGTCAGAGAGAAACTTTTGCCGGCGTCGTCAGAGCCCATTTTCGCTCCTTTAAACAATTGTTCGTTTTACTGCGAATATATTTAATGTTTCGCACCAACACTTTTGTTGTTGCAGTGCAAAGTGCGTTTTTTGTCTACGTGTGCGACTCTCTTTAACTTTGTGCGTGTTCCTGTGTGTGACGCGCTTGTGTATTGGTACCAACTAGCTGCATTTTTCATGGCGTTGCCATGCGGGTTGAGTTGCCGCTCAATTTTCTCTGACCGGACGTGTTGCTTTCGAAAAAAGTGCTTTCAAAATTGTATTTATCAGTAAATTTATGACTCCTTGCCCTATCAGTATACAACATTTGATGATCTTGCTGCTAGCAAAAGCAATTTAAGAGACGCCAGCCACGATGCGAATGATGTGTTCAAGCTATGATTGGCTGTTGAAAGCCACTCGCCACCCCTCCCTGGCCCTCTCTTTTTAGATTATGCGCACCTCTGCGAACTCTAATTCTTAATACATTCGGCGATGGTGTCACTTTTCGTCTCTTCTCTTGAAGTTATCCACGTCACAAATACTTATCGCTTTCCAAGAAGTTAAAGAGACCAAGAAGAAACAACAAGTTGTTTGGTTGTATATATCTTAGGCGCAGCCCGTTTCAACACGTGGCATGTCTCTCCATTGTCCATTACTATCTGCCGAGATTTCCGATTTCATACCGTTGCTTTATGTACATATGTAGATTTTAATCTACTCAAAACTATTAATCGAATCAGCTATTGAAAACACAGTTATGTTATGTACGTACATACATACATTCCTACCTACAAACAAACTTGGTTGAAACTCTGTTAAAGGTCATTGCCTTTAAGATGGTGTTTGACTGTCTTTCTTCTCAGTTGTCTCGTTAACTAAATTCAAAAGCCATTCATTATGAGATACCTCGATACCTTGATATTTTGTTCCTCAAGTTCTTAAAGATCTTACCAAATTTTCGGTGTAGCAACTTTTCCTGACTTTGACCTTAAGAAACTTTCTCTGACTCTGGGATTGACCACTGTGTCTTTCTCGACGTTTCTCCCACCGTTTTTCCTCTCCAGCACTGTCCCTATAAAGGTGGTTATAGACGGATGCATCGATGCATTCACGTAGAGTCACACGATGTCGTGAGTCCAATGCATCGTCTAAAACCACCTTAAGAAACCGAAATCGTCTTTATAGAAATTCATTAGCGCTAAGCTGCATTATTTGCTCAATTAAAAAGCTTAAAAAGCTCTCTTCAAACTTTTTAGAAAAAACAATTACAATAATCAAAACACAACACGTCATTTATTAATTCCGACATATTCCGAAAACAGCTGAAGAAAACAAGAAATACTCGTAGTTATCTGAAATTTAAGAGAAATTAAATATATAATGGCTCAGGTTAAACCGAAAAGTAGCAAACAGGGTGGCAAACAAGTAACCGCTGCCAAAAAGGTAAATAACAAACTAATCGAAAAGTACGCCTCCTCCAATGTGCTTTAATACTAATAAGACATTATTTTGCTACTCCCATCAGACGGTGCAGGAGAAAAGCAGCGCACAGCAAAAGAAAAACAAACAAAATTCTGCGTCACAGAAAAAGAAATGCGGCTGCTGCAAGTGGACTTTGGGTAGTATTTTCATCATCGCGCTGATTGCTGGTGCTCTCTATTATGATACTGAGGTCAATGGCAAGGGGCTGTTCGAGAAATCAGCTACGGGCAAGGTACTGAAAAACGCTGGACTTTTGCCACATGTCCAGAAGGGCTGGTATGTGGCCATGGGCACAAGCGCCCGGGGCTATAAATGGGCCGAGAAACATGTTCCACCATATGCAGAACCCGCACTTAAGACGGCTGGAGATCTGTGGAAGCTGGCGAGGAATGCAGCATGCAATATTTTCCAATCCGGCAAGGGATACTTCAATACCAAGTGGCCTGTGATTGCCAAGTTTGTAAGTTAATTTTTTATATTTTGAGATTTATTTTCCAAAAGAGCTGGGACAATTTGTTAACAAATTTATTCTTTGTAGATTGACCAATATGTGCCCAATTTGTCAGGCAAACTTGAGGCATTCGTTGCGGGCGCTTGTGATTTGGCCATCAATAGCTACGACAAGTCCGCCACGCTAATTAAAGAAAAGGTCCTCGTGTAAGTATAACTCTCTCTTAGATTGATAAATTCCTTACTAAGTCTTCTGTATTTTTAGCGGCCGCTTCTCACCAGAGAACATCAATCAGGCTTTGAATCAGACGCGCAACGTCGCATTGGAATACTACAATCAGTTTCACAAAAAGGTTGATGCCTATGCCAAGCTTAAATGATTCTAAGCGTCAGGCACGCTTGGAAAACATTCTCCGAGTAATACCACGAACATCATCATTAGCATCCGAAGAATAAACAAGAAAACGTCATAGTCAATAGTAAAGGAACCACAATTATTTGGCAAATTAGTTAAAAAAAGAATTAATATGTTTTAAATAAGTCTATTCACCTGAACTTCTACCGCCTCAAAACACCAACATTTCGTCAACATGGCCTAGTAAAGAAAAGCAATACGAGCAAATTATGGTGCATGCCCAAAACAGAACCGATGTATACCACAAAAACCGGTTAACAGAATTTGTTTGTTCAATATTTGTCTCATACGTATGCATTTATCCCCGCGACCGAAAATGATCAATTTTATAATTGTATTAACTTGATTAATTGTATGCATTTCTGCAGAGAAGATAACTACACATTTCCAACTGCATTTTGATGAAGGGCAACCAAATGCAATAGTCAAGTAGTTTATATATTTCTATTCCGATTATTTGTGTGTACATTTTGGAATTGCCTTTTTAAAATGTACATTGAGCGTTTGGTTGGTTATTTGTTCACTAGGCGAATTTTGCGTTTCAACTTGTAATCTCAGTTGTAGATTGAATTAAATAATCGATTTTGCATAAATAAAATAAAATGAAAAAAGTTAAGTATCAATTTCTTCAATTTCGCTTTCATATGATTGGCGCAAGAGAGGCCATCGGAGATATCTTGGACTCGCATACCGAGGTGACCCGCTAGTGGCTGGAGCCGTTGCGCAGCTCACATCGCTGTTTGCCTGGTCTTTACTAGCGGCAAAGGAGAAGTTCATGGGTTCATGGTGTTCATTTAGTCCAGTATTCTCCATCGTGACTAGTGACGGCGAAAAGAGATTTAAGTCCAACGATGAAGTCACCTCATAAAAATGCCTATAATGAACTTGAAATTGCTGAATTCGCAGCAGCCAACTCATATCAGCTAACTTTTGTCAGATATCTAATGGAATATTCCCAGTATGAGTTAATTTCCCACTAAAGTGTATAGTGGAGCCCTGAACCCTATTTGCTGATTCTATGTTTTTGTCAGTTTTTAGCTCATTGTTGGTACATTCAAATTGTATACCAGAAACCAAGCAAATACTATATGTTGGTATTTAACCAATCAAAAATGTTCAAAATTGTCCAATTGATGGCAGAAAAATCAAAATATTTCGGGTTCAAAACCTGGGAAAAGATAATGAAATATGCGAATTCACCTTTTACATGCACGCTATTCTGATTAGATTCATCTCAAGTGAATTTTGGCAACGGTTTTTTATACTTATATTTCGGAGGCAAGAATAGCATGCGTAACTATTCCTCGGTATCGTACAGGAGTTTTGTGGTGGTTGTGGTACTCAAGAATGTAATAACTCTGGTTCAGTAGGATACCAGAAAGCATATAACAGCATAAAAGCTTATTCTAAAAGTTCCTCAAACGTCAACAGCTTAATTGCCCCTTATTCAGCGATGCTTTTACAAACTTTCGGAGTGCGGCGAACTTAAGCTTTGTGAGTTTAATCGGGAAAAGAAAATAAAGTTCAGGACAAAACGGCACGGAAAAGTTTTGGACTCGTTTGCCGAGTGACACAAACATGTTTCGGCAGCTGGAAAGGAAGCAACGGAAATTTTCTTGTGAATTCAGGAAAGTCCGTTGATATATCCCACGACTCGCAGCGCACGTGTTCGGGGTCTCGCCGCTTGTGAAATTTACATTTACAGAATTGCTCGTAATTGAAACGAAAACGCAAAGAAAATGTCGAAAGGCAACATACACACGGGTTTAATGCATTTTTGATTTGTGCTGTTGTCTAACAGAAAGTGCAGGCAGAATTGATTCAATGTCTGAGTGATGTGTTTGAAAATAACAAAAAATAGTTCCGATTGAAAGCCACATGGATCGTGTGATTGTGTTAGATAATGACAAGTACAACTACAAGAGTTAATGTTCCTCGTAAGTGCGCCTCCACACATTCTCTGTATACATTTGTATCTACTCATGAAACATATTCCAACCTTAAACAACATTTAACCATCTGTTCCATCTTGCTTTACAGTCTCTAATTTTCGGTATCATTGAAACCAAGTGAGTGTTGAGGTGAAGAAATCAAAAGAAAGTCAACCTGTGCATCGACGAGGATCATGGCCATGCCTGGGATATGCAAAGGCTGCACCTTAATGCTAATCATTACAATTATGACAAGTACGAGTATGGCGATCTTATTAGAGGCCCAGCAATTGCCTCAAGCAATCAAGAACCGGCAAGGAGTTAAGTTATCATGTAAGTAGTTCCATTTGTAAATATTGATGCTCATTCCTGTAATAACAACCATAAGCATGCATATACATACATATGTACATATTTGATTCTCATATGTGTGATTGGAAATAATATTTGCATAAGCACAAAGCCGGCACCAACTTCAATTTACCCACATCATATCAAATGTATATTGCTGATCCTCAGAGAGTGCCATTGAGGCTGCTGTCTTTTGTCCAGTGTAGCTCCCAGCATCTTCGCGTAAATATAAATACATTGCCAACAAGCTGTCAGTAGCGCGGTTTACAATGAATTGTCAAATAACTTTAACTTTATCTGATGTTTAATGCAATGAATGCTTAAATCAATTATGCCCAGCAGGCGGAAAGCGGATGGTAGATGCAAGCAAAAGCAAAGATGCGAGGCACATGTAGACTTTAATTAAATCATGAAAAAGCTGGAGGAAAGGGACATGCTAGAGCATACTTCAAGTTAATCAACATATGTTCATATGTACTGTGTACAAATGTATGTGTAACTCGGAGGCGAGGTTATGTTATGTTATCTGTCCTTATTTTACTGAGTCCCCTGTCTTGGGGTTTGAAGTCTAAAAGTTCTTTGTTGTGGTTGCGCCTTTAACACTTGGGGACTGAACGCGTCTCGAGTTTCATGATTACTCGTATGAGTATTATTGCCTGGCATGGGTGCCTGGTCTTAACCCAGCTTTCACACCTTCTGTATCTATGTAAATACACATATAGATTTTTGTGAAATTTAGAAAATTTAAAAGTACTAGGGCTATACTCGACTCTAAAGAGGTGACTGAGGAAGTTGGTGATGAAGATCTCGTTTGTGCCAGCATCTAGATCGTAAAATGATTTTATGACCTCACAAACTGGCCGCACAATTAAACTTGTCAAGTGAAAGCTGCGAGAAAATTCTTATTTAATGAATTATTTCAATTTTAGGACTATTAAGAAAGTTTCGAAGATGTATTTTATTACAGGATAGCAGAGTAGTAGTAAAAGCATTGCCTAAAGTGACTTAAAAGCCATCTGAAGTTAAAAATTATCTACGATGGGTAATTGCTAATAAAAATGCTTTAAATCACAACATACTTTTATATTTTAATATTAAAGAGCACTGAGCCGTAAGGAGCAACAAATTGCGGTCAATAAATAGACTCAAGTGTAGAAAATAGTTATCAAAGGCCAAAAGTGTTGCTGTCAGAACTATTCCTACTCGTTTCCTGGAAAATCAGCTGTAGCTTTTACAATTTCTAGGGAAAACCTTAACACATACACCAATGGCCATTAAAGCGGCCGCAGCTGCATGGATAGAAGGGGATTCAACACATGCTCATAAAAATCATGGGAGCTTGCTTTTGGCCTTATACATTTCATTCTCCTTTGTTCTTTATACAATGGATTGTTTCACTTATTTTAATAACAAGCGACATATGTTATGAACCATTTATTGTGTCAATATTTCACAGAAAGTGGACAATCTGGCTCCATTTGATTAAAAATTGCATAGTAGAATATGCTACAGTGTAAATTGGGAATGAGAACAGCTAGAAATAGAAGAAGGAAGGCTAAAATGATAAAAAAATAGAACTAACTGAGCTCTCTCAGCTCTATGTGCCCTCTGAACCAACTGTATCCTTTGCGCCTTCTCCGTGTCTTCTTCCCGTGATTATGTCCCGCTGATATGCTAGGCTCGTAGAGTGGGATCTGTCACAGCCCCAACCATTTGGTCAAATTACAAACAAAGCTTATTTGGTTGGTTATCTCCCCCAAAAGCATCTCTGCGACACACTCGGACCAGGAGATGGGAGCGAGTTTCTCTCCCCGTAATTGAGTTGATAAAGCTTCGGTGTCGCGTTCGCATTGTTTGTGTAATTTGTGTAATGCATGAAAAGTTAATTACCTCGGGGAACTTGGTAATTAGAAATGTGATTGAACGCGCCGCGCAGTCCCGTTGACATTCGCCAACAAAACGAGACTTCCCTGTACGCGTACTTGTCCTCCCAGCCACCCAGTCCCCCAGTCACCAACTACACTAAATCAGCACGAAACCATACAAATACGCATGTACTTATATTTGTATGTACAAATATTGTCTTTGATAAGCCCACTCTCTGGTTCACCTGTTTGCTTCTCTTTCATTTGAAATTTTGAAAAAGTTATCCCTGATGACATTTCCAGACATTTTCAATTAGCGCGTCCAGAAAGTTTTTTAAATATTTGCCAATTCGAGTACGAGTATGTTGTGCTTATTGAATTCTTGTGTTGTTTGTTTGTGGTGTTTATATTGTCTGTACAATTTAAAATAATTTATCAATACAACACAAAAACTTTGCAGACTTCCAAAATTGGGAAGTGCAAAAAGTGATTTTCTTTTATGTTCCTTGAGATGGCGGCTACCAAAGCGCGCGACTCGACGTTCCCTTCCATCGTTTCAGCTTAAAGTATTTGAATGTTCATAAATGGATGTGTGTATGTCCATATGCACGTTTTCCAGCCAAACTTTTAGAGATTATTTTCTTACTCCTACATAGGTTCGCGTTTCTTGGCTCGTTTTCAATTAAGAAACTCACGAATGTTCGCTCAACTTATAGTGAAATTGCATTGTTGCCCTGCTTCCTGCGGCCTTTTCCTGCCTTTCGTCCCGTTTTCGACTCCCCTTCCCACCAAGCAATGTAGTACGTCTTCCCTTGATTAACATTTGATGTGTTTGGCAGTTCTGCACCAAGATCCTGCTAAGACTGCTCCCGTTTACAATTTTTATTTTTAAGGCAATCAATTAAATGCCATTTCGCGCTTCCCTTTTGAAACGTTGCCTGTCAGATGGTGAAAATGGATTGATGTTGATTTGGGACTTCAAAACAAGTTTACTCAACAAAAGGCTATGAACCAGAAATTGGTTTTTGTGCTGCATTCTCAAACATGATTTGTTTTGAGTGTGGCATATATGTACTATATATATTTTTGTATGCACTATTCGTCAATCGGAGTTAGAACAGCTAGAAACAAACATGATAAGACCAGACATGTTTTTAAATACACATTTCATTTCAACAATACCAAAAATACTAGGTTTTGGTACTTTCCTAACCGGTATCTTTTCAAGCATAACAAGAGTGACCCTGTATTTACATACATACATACATACATACACATGTTTGTAATGTTCAACTCTTGCTTAAAGAATATTTTGTGCAGATGAGCTATCAGCGAGTTGCAGCAAAGGACACAGAGCATGATACTGAGCAACAGTTGTTTCCGCTGTAATCGAACCCAATGTAATTGAGCGGCACTTAAGGAATATGCGCCTCGTTAATTACCTTGCACAGCAAACCTCTAATGAGCGAACGGAACACCAATGTCATATCCCCTTTACATCCGACACCCACGCGATTCACGCTTGAATGATTAGCTTTGTCGTGAACTGCGAGGGAACGAGAGCCAGGCCACAACGTCAAAGGATACGTTTGGGAATTTGTTGTGTTGGGGTCTCAAGCTTAGATACTCGTAAGTGTCTCATCTAACTTTGAGCTTTGTGAACCCAGACATATCCTACAACTGACTGTACTATATGTATGTTCTGCGTGTACGTATACCCAAAACTTCTTTCAGCTTTAGAAATAATTAGGAAATATTGAGATTCAAAAGCAATGATGTTTTATGATGATTTTAACTTAACTCTTGAGCTTGCTTTGTGTGAGTTTAGTCACATAGGACGAACTTGAAATATTTCCCATATGCCGCGCTGCAAATAAATTATCCAAATTCTGGACGGCAAGCCGTCAAGCGCAATGTGGCCTTGAATTGAAGGCCCTGGCTAATGGAGTGGTAACAGTTAAACAGAATCCTGCTGCCTGTTGACAGCCAGCTGACAGGGCGTGGTGTGGTGGGCAGGGCCTAGCTAGAAGGCGGCGCCAGGGACGACACGACGCGTCGTCGGCATCTCAATAAATTTTCGAGCGCAACTTTGTGACATTATTAATACATTGGGCCTTCGGGGGAGGTCCTTGCACGTACGCGCATGCCGCTAACCGAACAACGGCAACGGCGAATGTTGCTTAATTACCTTCGGCTTATCCCTATTGAGGTACATATGTGTTAAGGAGGTACAGGAGTTTTCTGCGAATTTAATTCCGAGCACCATTGCTCGATGTGCTCTCACATTTATTTGTTAAGAGTTCGATTGTGCCATCGATTTGTCTTACATTTAATCAGCGGAGTGAGAGTGAGTGATAGTCTCAGTATGCTCAACTAAAAGATTTCGAATTCCTCTTTCCAGAAGTTGGCTCCAGGCACCTTTAACTAAGAGTTAATGAAGTTTGACAGGGAGCAATGAGTGTCTAAAATTGAGTGCCGAAACCTATGACTTAATCACAAATGAGCAATTCTCTGTCTAATATTGTGGACATCCTACGACAGGTAAACTTAACTGGCTGTCGGCTCAATTTGATTCAAACGAAAAAGGAAAATTACTCTTCCCCGAATGAACAACAGCAGCAACGGGATAAGTTGTAAGCGCTTTTTACAACTTACCCCCTGGCGCAAATATTCCTTCACCAAACACTCTTTATGTTTAAAATTTGATAGATTCGAGTCCAAACTTGTTGCTGACTGACCCTGCGTACAACCACAACTGGCATTGATGAGCCCATGTATTGAATTACTCAAAATATGCAAAAATGCAATAATCGAAGCAGTTAGGCTGACATTCCAAGCCTCTAAACCAATATTTTTTGCCTGCCAAATTGTTGGTCTCATAAGGCTTGAGTGTGTTCTTGGTTGTGAAGATTGTGTTTTCGAGTAGTGGCAATAACTGAAATTAAAGAGCTTATTGCCGATAACCATTTATTGTTAAATTTGAGAAGCTGAGAAGCTAAGCTAGCTAAGCCAAGGCAAGCCTATGGCTCCTTTTTCAACAACTAATCACATTCAATGCCTTTGATTTCACAGGCGATCTTGAAGATTAACTCCTCCTTTTCAGCATAGTAATTGACTGTGTCGAAATTACAGTCCAGAAATTCAGCTTGAGCTTTGTAGAGCAGAAGTTTCTGCCGGTCATGCTGGGAGCCCTCACCATCTAAGATGAGCCTGGCCAAGCATTCCGATAAGCGGGACTGAAATAAAGGTTGGTTCTTGCAGTTGAGAGATCATTCTGTTTGGGTCAATGTCAATGCTTACCGCAGTTCCACAGTGCTCCAGTATGTTCTCATCATGTTCGAACTCCACCGCGTAGTTGATGCTGTTCATGTTGGTTCCAGTTTAGCGAATGAATTCGTTTGAGGACTGACACGGAACTGAAGTTGCTGAACGTCGTCAACGTCAGCTGGCTCTCTATTTGTTTATACTACTCGAATTATTCATGGTGTGCAGTGATTTGATCCGGCAGGCAAGTACTCCCCTCTTCCGAACTGTCCAGCTGTCCAGCTGTCCGCTGGGCCTGTGGCTTGTTTATTGTGGCTTCTACGATTATTCATCAAAGTCTCATACAGCCCTTCCAATCCAATCGAATCCCTCTTACCCGCTCCAAAGATTTTCGACACGTAATCAGAATTCAAATGCTTGCTCAGCTGACAAGTGAATTACCAGCCAAGCCTCGAGCTTCCAGTATTTTCTATGCATAAACACAAAACAAATTCTTTCTGCTTTCTGCTGACAAGTGAATTACCAGCCAAGCCTCGAGCTTCCAGTATTTTCTATGCATAAACACAAAACAAATTCTTTCTGCTTTTAATACGGTCATCCGATATTGCCATATTTAGTCTCAAAGAAGTAGTAAAAAACCATCTGATAAAAGCTACTCTGCAAAGCAGAAACAAATGTAGGAACCTACATACATGTCTCCGCAGTGACGAGTCCGCCGCATGAAGGTAATTGATCTTGACTTATTGGACTAACATCCATAAGAAATATTAAGTGATTTACTTGAGAATTTATGGTTATAATGGATAAAAACTAGCAGAAACGTTTTTAACTTTTAATCAATAACATAGATTTTGGGCAATCACGTACGAAGATTGTAGCAGATTGAAGGAGTCAAATGTGCGATGATTGGTCTAGCACGTTTGCCTGTCAGAAGTTTGTGGAGGCGTGATATAATTAGCTAAGCGGCGACAAGGATTTCGCAAAGAAAGAAATTAGGCTAAATGGCCTTTAGCCTGGCCAGTCTTAGTAGCAATTTTCTTAATGCTAAAACTTTTAATACGACACAGAGCTCCAGCAAACCAATTTTATGTCAGAGAAAAAATAGATATATATATACATACAGTCCCAAGGCAAAACGTCAAGAATGCTTTGGGAGAAATGAAGTACACACATAAGATACATTCGTACAGATGTAAGTACGACTTAAAGTACGAAGTCTTATGAAATTTCTTTGAATTTTGCAGACTTCGCATCAAGCTCAGAGACATTCCAATTACATTCTTGTACGAGTACAGGTGAATCGCTGTAAGATTACTATGGGCATTTTAGACTTAGCCTAGAGTAAGGTTAAAAGCTTTAGTCTTTCGTGGGCTCTTCTGTATGACACATATGAAGCTTGTATCTATGAACAATATGTGGAGGGGTTCGCGTAACTAAGTGGTCGCCTTATTATAATGGGTTGGGCTGGTAGTATATCCGCAAATTTGAGCCGCATGCCGAGGTTATTACGCTGCTTGCCGTTCTGTCTGGCTTTTCTGTTTTCCAGATTACAATGTAAGCCGCCGCGTTGGAGTGTGACTTCGTGTGTTTGTGTGACGACCTACATATTTGCTTCAAGACACTCTAACTAGCACTCAGGACACTTTACGCCCCCTTTGGAAGAGAGGAAGACGCCCTTAGAGGATGGCTCTCTCATAACACATTAGCGAGGGTGAAAGTGAAAGTGAACCCCGACATAATGACGGCTCCCAGTTGACTTTAATTTGCAGAACGTGTCTTTGTCAACATTTTTCTTTATATTTATATTTTAAGCTCCAAAATATGATTATGATTGATATATTTTTGGCATCTCTATGAATGTCATATGCTATTTAGTGTCAATATTCTTCTTTTCCATAGCGAACAAGAGAGAACACAAAAAATTGATTAGAATCACCTCGGAAAGCGCATACAAAACCAGTGGCTGGAGCCATGTGTGCCATAAATGTCAGCTTCAAGCGAAAGAGAAACTTCACGTGATTTCATTTGGCTTCCGCTTTGTGTGTGTACATTTTTGAAACAGACTGTGCCACCCCCGAGCACAGCATTGAAATCCGCCTAAATTGAAGAACGGCTCTGGTCTGACTGAAAAGAAATAAGCAAAGTCGAGCCGAGCTGATGACAATTTATTGTTCACACTTGTAACTGATGGGTGCTTAGGGGAATATACTCGAACGAACACAAACGCGAGACACGAGTGCGACTTTATGGGGAATATTTCATTGTCTGACAGGGACCCAGGCCTCGAAACAGACCTAACAAATTGTTAGCCATTATTCCACCCAGAGCCAATATATAATATGTTTTCTATAATAGCTGGAGATGACTGTGGAACATTGTACAGAAAACTGATGCACACGCGATAAAAAATCGTCTTTGTTATGTATTTTAGGGAACTGAATGTATACCAGTAGCCAACTAAAGGCAGGAATTTATGGAATTTATATAATTCAAATGTCTATGTAAATAATGTACATTTATTTGATTGTTCTATGTTACATCTGTGCAGGTGTGCAGGCAATTCAACGTCATCAGCTTCTGCTGGCAAACGATTTAAAGGGCTTGAAAGTTGCTCTCAAGACGGTTCAACCAAATACTACGCACAATAAATTGAATAACATAAACAATCCTTATATAATGGATCGTCATTTGGTCTAGGTTAGCGTTTCCTCAAAATGTTCAATCATTTCGAAAACAAAATGAGAATGGTTCGAGGATTCGAGCTCCTTTTGTTGTTTAAAAGCTTTGGATTGGGTTGGCTTTAGCTGTTTAGATGAGTTACAGGCATCTTTCCAGACATTTATGTATGTTCATCTAGACAAATTCCTACGGGACTCATGATTTTCCTGAATTCTAGTTAAAGTTTCAGTTTATATTTCCTCGAACTGTGCAGTAAAATTGTTCTCATATAAATTTAGCATAAAATATTGAAAACCTTTGGGCAAAGTGATTTAAGCGCCAAGGTTTATGTAGCTGCAATTTATTTTAATTGTATTGTTCGGCGCCTCATCGAGATTCTCCCCAATAGGAATCTGTTTTTCTGGTACCATCGATATGCTAATTTTGTGCGAGTCGAACTGAGCTTAAAGCTAATCGAAAAAGTTCTAAAAACTTCGAGGCCGAGTAAAAACTAATAGTCGTAAATATTTATGCATTTCGATGCCGACACAAATGGGTCAAAAGAGCTCAGACCAGACTCAGTCGGAATTGAATGTGCCAGCTTCAATCAATGGACTTGTAAGGGATAGCAGATTGTTATCAATTTTCCATTTCGGGGGCAACACCAGAAATTTATTTTGTCGTACATTAATAATGAAACTTAACATACACTTGGATTCATTTTAATTTTAGGAACTTCATTTCTAAATGAACTCATCTGAATAAACGGATCAGCTCTACCTACTCTCTGCCTCTAAAACTCCACGCGTTCAACTCATTTTCCTATGCAGTCTTGAATGTACGTGCTTCCTGACACATGTTTCATGTAAACGAGACATCTGCCAATATCCTGGGGCCTGTGCGGGAATCTTTACTTAAACACAGCTCGAGTCATGAATACGTGTATTACTTGTTGAGGGTCCAATCTTTGGCCATCTCTGCAGAGTCTATTTAACAGAGAATTCCTGACCCCAGGCCGTTTGTTTTGGCCGGAGTTAGCTTCAATGAGACTCAGAAATGTGTATAGAAACAAAGTATTTCTCTTTCCACTAGCACAAGTTGGGATCTATGTATATGCGTTTCTACTTCGCTAAAAAAAATATTTTACCAACAGAAAAGAAACGAGGAGTAACGTTTTGACGCATTCAAAAGCGTCACTTCTTTTGCACGAGAGCTGCTCGAGTGAGCTACCCATCCTACCTATCCGCCACACAAGAAGAATCCTCCTTGATGATTTTGAGGGAACAAACTGCTTAATGAAAATTTTAAAAGCGCCACAGCTTGTGACTTTAATGTTGTTATTGAAAAATACAAAGACAAGGTGCGCGCACCGCAAGGTTTTGAGACTTTTGTGGACATACTGGGACTCATCTATACCGGTACAGTCAGCTGGGATATACATATATTATTATATATTGTTTCCTTGTTACAAATCAGCTTTTCTTACGGATTGATAATGGTGATATTATTTTGTACTAATTTTGTTTCTCTGCCATATTTCCAGCCAAATCCAGAAACACTAGCATCAACGACTCGTTTTCACCGCTTTCTTCGCCAGAGTCGTCTATCGAAAGTGATTATGTCTACATTGCCTCGCTTTTCCATAATAGAAATCACTCGCCTCATTTGAACAATGCCGTGAATGAGGAGCCGGAGCCCGATGAGCAGGGAATAGATGAGACTAACTATCCGCCACCCACTTTTGACTTTGGCATGCTTAGAAATATAACAGCCCGTACGGGACACACGGCGACCATCAATTGCCGAGTGGACCATCTGGGAGATAAATCGGTGAGTGAAACCAATGATTGCATTTGCCAGCTCATCAAGGAAGAGGTTTTCTGCTGCACATTTTCCTCTCAATGCATTTTAAGGAAAATATTTGGATCGCTAGTCAAGCTGAAAATCAAGTTAGCGTAAACTTTTCTTTTGCAGTTTGCACAACTTCCGGTATCTCTTCTACTGTTCCGCTTTCAACTACAACTTTTACCCTTGTTTTTCTGGTTAAATAAGAAAGTTTGAGCCTACATCCATAATCCCTCTCATCCACCTCTGCTAAGTTTTCTCCATGAGTTTGTTTGTGTTCGTTTTGTATGATTTTTCGTTTCTGGTTTTCCTTTCGCTTTCACACTCAGTTGATCATAGATTTCAAGGGTATTGTGTACCCTAAAAAATAGTAGAAAGTGTTTCCCACAATCATCAGGATTAACATCTGATTCGCTATATTGTAGTTGTAGTAGCTTTGGGATTTTTAACATGTCCGCCATCATTATTATTCATATTTATTCATATTTTTATCATCGCAAACCTTTCGGCCGCCTTTATCCCTTTGCCACATTTAAAATGGATGTCTTTTCGTGCCACTTCGACACTTTTAGTCTCGACTTTTTAAATTTTTTTCTCCACTCCCGTACATTTTTTTTTTTTGGTTTTAGGGCATTGAAAAGTTTTGGTAGCCTGGAGCAGTCAGTGAGATTACTTTTTGGCCGCTGCAGCGGAAGTCCCAGTGGCAGGCAATGCTTTTATTCGTTTATTTTTGTAACATTACTCCAAGAGTTAAACGGGTATATTATATTTGTGGATTTCTGGACCCTATAAAGTACGGGGGGTTTAGGTTTATTGTTTATAAGTAAAGGTTAATAAGTGATTAAATATGGTATAAAGGTACAAGAATTAGATTTCTGCGTCGTTCGTCGTCTGGTCTTGCACACAACCTTTTACGTATAGTCGGCGCTCTCTCGCCGATCGGTTGTCCGCTCTCGCTCTCAATTCGCTCTCCTTCGTTTTCTCTTTGCGTTTGCTCTCGTGGTTGGAATTCTCAGTGACGCGAATTCGCCCTTGCTCGTTTTGGAGTTTTGTCTAGGGATCGCAATTGGCAAAACCCAGCCCACATATATGTGATGTAGATGACAGATGTAGTAGAAAATGTCAAGTTCCAAAAAAATGATCATGTTACTTGTGTACATACTTATGAGTATGGGTAAACAAATAAGCGCGGCTCACAGCGTTCCGCCTCGCTTTGCATGCTTTTAGCTGCTGAAATATTTATTTCTGGCTCGAATAATGCCTTGTCTGCGTTTGCCGACTTGTCAGTAGGAACTAATTTCGTTGCAAATCCATTTTCAAATTAAAGTTTTGGACCAATTTTGAGCCGTTTCCTTACATATTTTCTATTTTTGAGTTCCAGTAATGAATCAAAACGAATAAAAACTAATATGCTAACATTTTTGCCAGTTAAACTGATTTTCTGTATACCTTCAGGCCTTACGCTTAGGAGGTCAGGTCAGACAGTATTTGCGATGAGTCTTAGCAGTTTGAGAGTTGGCTGCTTATTACATTTTCGTACCTTTACTTTACGGCTCCAAGTTCGCTTCGTAGTTTCAGAGCAGTAGGAGGAGAGCCGGACTGAAAGCAATTTTAAAAATTGACTTAACAGCATTTGGTGTCCCTTTTTCATTTTCCTACAGGTATCCTGGATAAGGAAACGCGATTTGCACATCCTGACTGCAGGCGTTTTGACCTACACCTCTGATGAGCGTTTCAAGGTAAAGTATTCGTAAGCTAGCCTCTCCCCGCCTGACTCCCTCCCCCTGCTGGCTTATTAAATGCCCTCCAGCCCGACCTGGGATCGTTTGTGTGTAAGCCAAGTCAGCTTAATTTCGTATGCAATTCGGGCCAGTTACTTGAATGCATTGATTAAATTGGCCCAAGGACGTTTCGCCTCCAACTGCGATTTATCGTTCATTCTATGGTTTTTGCCTTTCTCTCCCTGTGTGCGCAGGTTGTTCGCACCGCCGACTCCAAGGATTGGACATTGCATGTAAAATACGCTCAGCCACGCGACAGCGGCATCTACGAGTGCCAAGTGAATACGGAGCCAAAGATTTCCATGGCATTCCGCCTGAATGTCATAGGTGAGTAAGACAATCTTTCAATCTTCCTTTCTTTCTTTTCCCTCTCCTATGTGTGTTTATTTTGTCCATCCTCCAGCAACTTTCTTCCTGTTTCTTTCCTATGAAAAGTTCTACATACTATAAATCCAGATATAAAGCTGAAGCGAAATCTGTTCAGTAACTCTTTAACTTTATGCTATCAATTCTAAAAACTCCAATCAGAAACTCCAAATCGATAGTATTAAACTTGCTATCCAAACAACAACCTAATGCCATGTTAACTAACTGAATTGCCATTCCCTCCACCATGCTAAACTGTTTTTTGGGCGTGTTGAAATACGCTCTAATGCCTGAATGCCCCACCTAGTCCTTGCGGCCAGTCCAGCCCCGCACATCATTAACAATGTCAATATTTGACTTTGCTGACTGCCTTCTGTGCTCGCTGTTAGCGGTGGAGGCACTGAAAAACATTAGCCCTGATTTCAGTGCGTGTAACGGGCCAGCTACACATTTGTCTCTGTCTGCAGCAGCTGTGGCAGCGAACGAAAACATACTCGTGGTAGTGATGTTAGAAAATCCCAACAGATACACACACTCATGTTGTACAAAAAACTAATTTAGCTGTTCGCTATGGCGATGGGCTAATATGGCATACTCATACTAAGTCCTGGCTGACTCACAATAACTGTGAGATCAGTCTGCTTAATGCTCCTGACCCAATTATTATCAACTCTTAGAATACTATTTTGACGTGGTACCTAGAAGCCTTTCCTTGGCACACGCTTGCAGCATTCTAAGCAGCATAACGCTGCTCACTATCAGTCCAAAATCAATGGAAGCCCATTGAAATATGCGTTAGCCAGACGAATGATTAGCCGCATGATGCATCTGCCGTTGTCCTGCCACCTACCCCAGGTGTGCGAGATGCAGAGAACACCTACAATTGATTTGATAATTAATTTTGTGCATGTTCCATTCCGATGTTCCATGCCAAACTGCAGTGACGCCGCCAGATGCTAAAGCGATAATTGCTGGTCCGACGGACTTGTACGTCAAAGTGGGCAGCGTCATAACGCTCACATGCCTGGTGAAACAGCCAACGCCATCGGCACATGATATTGGGCCAATTTACTGGTATCGCGGCCCCTACATATTGACGCCATTTGTTGCCCATCCAAATGAAGCGGCCATTGATTTGCAGCGTATCTCCATGGAATCAACACTGGCAGAGAAGCTACAGAGCAGGTAAGCAGTTTAGTTACCAACTGCAAGCCCACCAATAATTATTTAAAGTGTAGGATTTTTGTTTAGCACCTAAGTGCACAATGTACAGTGGTTTTATGTTTCGAACTTACCGAATTTCAATGTATTATAGATTACGCATTGCCAACGCACAACTGCTTGACACGGGCAATTATACGTGCATGCCGACCACAGCGGAGGCCGCCAGTGTGGTGGTGAATGTCATCCATGGTGAGTAGCAACTATGCGCGTATGGGCGGTTTCGCAACGTGTATCTGGTTTGTCCCTCTCTTTCGCCCTCAGATGAAAGCCCCGCTGCGATGCAGAAGAGTAAAGGTGTGCGAGTAGCCAGCAGCAGTGGGAGCAATCGAATGGTTCTAATCATGGCGTTGGCTGCCAGTTCAGTTGTGCGATGGCTACTCTGCTGCAACTGTTCTTTATCGAATTTTTCCATTCTGCATATCAACTACGAGTATATCCACTATTGTATAGCAGCAGTTGCTTTTAAGACGCAAGCGATCAGCGAGCTACGGGTAGACCTTGGGCAAACTCTGTCTGAATCATGATAAGTAATTGTTAATGTGGATATTTGAATATATTGTACATAGTTAAGAATTAATATAAACACTCAATCCAGACCATACAGAATAAGGAAACCATTGCGTAGTTTGTGTGTTTAATGTAAATATATTTAATTAACCAGTAAAGACTTTGATCAATAAAATAAAGGCAATCACCTCAATTGGTTATGCTGGAAAGAAAAAGAGAATATAGACATAATTATATTAAAATAGTGAAAACAGCTGACATTTAGGCTATCGAATATTTGTATAGTTCTTCATATTTAATATTTGGCATAAATAGCTAAAATACTGACTTGGCTGCACCACGCCACAATTAAATAATGTATGTAATTAATGATTATTTAACACATACAAATAAATTGTTATGTTAATTTGAGAATGAAGTAAATTCTTTTTTTGGATTATATTAATTCTGAAAATGTATAAGCCACACCTCGAATTAATTTAAATAAACTCTCATTCATATTAACACGCTATCATAGAATTATAGAAAATAGATTGAAACCGCTATGTACGCAGAAGGCAATTAAAAGCGTAGAGTTTAATTTAAATTCATGCTAAATTTTAGGTTTCCATTACGCTGTTTATATATTTAAGCGACATGTAACTATGTAAAATATGTATATTCAAAGTAAGAAATAATAAACTGAATTTTGTTATATTTTAGTGAGTTTTCGTTGCTTTTCTTACATTATTTTTAGGAAATTATAAATATGACTCAAGTCCTATTGACACTTGGCTGGATCATAAGCATTTAAAGTGGTAATTAATAAAGGTACGCAGAGCAGGTCAGTGTAGAATTGAGCGGATAAGCCTTTTCCAGTTCGGGGTGAGTCTTCCTGCACGTATTCATACACACATAAGTACTATATGTAACGGCCCTTTACCCCTACCACCTCCGCAAAAAAGTGGCGTTGGTTACGGTTACGATGGTCAACACCGAATCTCCCTTGTTCCCGAACAAGCAGGCGAATGCGAGGCGAAACCCCGATTAGCCGTTCTGTGTGGTTGTGTGGTCTGTGGATGTGTGTGTGTGTGTGTGTGTCGCGGTGCGTGGGTGTTTGCACGCATAATTTTTCGCAGTTGAGTCGCTTAAATTAAATCATAATTATCCACACTCACATGCCATGTCTCTCTTTTAATTGAGTGCAAATATTTTGCAGACAAACGCAATTTGCACTAATTCATAAAGGGTTTAACACAGTCCCCGCCAAATTTTGTTTGCTCAAAATTGAAAATAATTTAATCGATTTGCACTAATAGAATGCTGACAAAAACAATATTTTTAAAGCGCAGACTTGCTTTTATCTCATTATGCCATTTCTGGAATCAGGAAAATGCTTTAAAATACATATAACCGGGTGCATTTTTGTTTCCAATAAGGAAATTCCATGCATGGGTTCTATAAACATTTGCTTACTTTTATTAGTTTAGTGTACTTTATCTTAGTATTACAAAAGAGTTTAAAGTTCAAACAAAGGTTTTGGCTGTTTCAAATTCATAACTTTTCAGATCGACCTGCAGTCTATATAGAAAGTATGTATTAAAATATGATTTAATTTTCAAACTAATCAATATAAATTGTATTGAGTGATGAAATTAATTTCATTTGAATAATAGCACTTTGCGTTCTTTTCAATTGCATTTTTTATAATTTTAGCATATTTATTCTGTGGTTTTGTGCTTTTTTCTGTTTTTCCTGTCAGAATTTATTAGCTTTAACGAGAGCCAACTTGGTCAAAGAGAATTAATCATTAGCACAGCAAGTCGCAAAGTTTCCCTGCTCGACCTGCACTCAGCGGTTTTTCCATTCTTCTGGCTCTGGCGAAAATCACTGCAGGGCTATAATAAACAAGGTAGAAGCAACAGATAAACACATCACGTCACCCCTCTGCAGGACAGAGCAGAACAGGACGAGCTCAAAACTCTTGGTTTTCACTGTCGTGCTGTTCCGCCATCAAAGCCAAACATTTATGCAGTTCCAAAAGCCATCAGTCGGGCCCACAGCGATGAGTTTGGTGTTGCTTTATGTGCGGGCGCTCAGAAGTTTAATTGTTTTCAGTTTTGGTAGTTGAGTTTTTGGTAGAATAAGTCAAAAGAGGCTAAAGGCATCTCGCAAAAGTTTTATCGTTTTAAAGTTCCACGGGTAATTACACTGCGAAAGTTAATTAAACACGGCAAGGAAATGGGTAGAGGCAGTAAGAGATCGGAGTAATTTTGATATACACGTAAGAACTTATATTTAAATTAATATTTAGTTATAAATAAACAGAACATTTTCTCAAATCTCGGCCATAAACTCAAATGTGTGACCCCTTCAAATACTGTGAACGATGACCATGACTGCCAATCGAATGATCGAAGGAAAACGTAATCGTATTTACTCGTACTCGTGTTTTCTTTTAAAAGTTTCAGCTGAATATATTTTATGTTTGCCTGAGCAGCCCTTTATAAATAATTCTATAAGAAATCTATTGTGTTCTCTAACAAATCATTCCATACAGTTATTTCAGACCATCAAAACTAAGTCTTACAAATTTTGTTTTAAATGGCGTAAGTAAATGAATAAATAGTATAAACCTAAAAAATTCTAAAAACATAATAAACTTAAAAAGTGAGGCCACCGAAAACAAACCTGGTAATTTTCCATTAGAAGAGCAAGATAATCGAAAACTATTCTGCAAGTATCACTACAAAGGGGTTCTCATTTTGTTGATTCCACTCATATTTTCACCCATATTGCTGGCAGAGAATGTATTGGTGAGTGCGGGATGCGAACTCATCCCTGTCTATCCCTCAAGTTGAATTTAACTCTCAATAGGTTGGTCGATTTATCTACCTTACCATATGTCTCTATCTGTACTACATCCTCAATGTTATGGCGCAAGGAGCCACAGCTTTTATATATATTACTTTTGTTCCCGTTTTCGGCATCGCGGGCTCGGGTCCTGTCAGCAATTCGTATTATACAGACTTAATATTTTTGACATATGGAAGCGTGTTTTTGGGCGTCTTGATGGACAGCTCCAAGCTAAGTGATCGTCTGAGCATATTGGTCATTAAAATTTGCGGTGGCAACATAAGAATGTAAGAAAAATCATCGAAAATAGTGCATTTGTACTTACAAGTTCCTCCACCTGCAGTCTTCAGCTATTTCTGGTTATTGTCACTGCAGTGTCCTCCATTTTTGTTAACTCCACAGTCATGTCGGCTTTTTGGATGAAGATAGCCTTAGCTGTAATGAATGAATTCAATGATGTGAGTTTTTTGATACTAAAATATATGAGTATAAAGGCTCAAACGACCCTTTCTAGGCTGGCATTGCCAAAATGTACTCCGACGAAGAGCCCTACGAGCGTGGATCGTAAGTCTGCTGGCACAACTGCCTAAATATGTAAATTATAAATGCATCCTTCCCATAGAAAACCTTATCCCTCACGTCCTGCAGTAGGCATTTATTTAACTGTTTGCTATGCAGCCAGCCTGGGTGCCATGATTTCGCCAATTCAAGATCCAAATGGAGTTCTAATCGATATTTTCAACGTGTAAGAAGTGTCTGTCTGTCACTCTTCTGTGAGTAACTAAAATCATTTACCTGCTCCCTCCCACAGGAATTTGAAGGGCAAGGCCGGCGCTGAAAGCTTTCTAGTACTGTTAATTGTTCCAATGATTCTCAGCTTGATTGTATTGATTGTGTGGATTAATATTATGTTCCTGGGACTGGTAGGTGGCAGTGTGAAGCAGGAGCTGGCCGAGGGCGCTGGAAATAGAGCTGGAATCAAACAGGCCATGGTCGATAAGAGCGAGAAAATGGGTCCCTGGACAATCCACACCAAATTGTCGCTCACTTTGGTTCTTATAACATTTCTGCTAATGATGACGCGAAAGCCACGTTTCATGGATGGCTGGGATTCAATAAGCAAAACTACAGCTAATGGGGCATCCGTCGCTGTCATTGGAATGAGTATTCTGTTCTTTGCCGTTCCTGCCAACTATATGTTCTGCAAATACTACATGTGTCGCCAGCCCAAGAAAGAGGGCAATGCACCATCGCTACTGGGCTGGAAGGTGGTGAACACCAATACTCCGTGGGGACACATATTTATGCTGGCTGCCGGATTCAGCTTTGTGTACAGTGGTCTGCATGCCGGTTTCTTCGATTACTTGGCTGACTCGGCGGTAGATTATAAAATGGGCAGTGGCATGTCCTTGTTTTGTGGAACGTTTTTGGGAACTCTAATGACAACCCTAGCACCAGCCACCACTTTGGCTAAGCACGCGGTACCCATTATGTTTGGAGCCGTAAGTAAACGACTTTACAACTGGATCATAATGGCAAATTTTGCTTCTTTCTTTTAGGGTAAGAAATTTGCTGTACCTTTTGGCACTGCATTGCACAATCAGTTTCTGCTACCAAGCAGTACATCAGCCAACACAATTGTTGCCGGTTGGGGCAATATCAGACCTTATCAGTTTGTAAGTATCTGCTGGGCAGTGACCAGTTACCTTACCAGACCCCACCTTACTATCATCTGCAGCTATTAGGAGGCCTGGTCCCTACCATACTCATGTTTATATTCACTATGGGCTTCATCATGGCACTGGGAGGCACTGCCTTTCCCGGGTATTAAACTAATGAAAACATAAAAACAACCAATTAAATCACAATCAGCATCTAAATCTTCACTTATTCTTCTGACAAGCAAAAGCTTCTACAAAAATGCAACAATATCGCATTAAAGGTAATCCCCGCCTGGTCTTTAGAGCCCAGTTCACATTGCCCGAATCCAAACTTGGCCCTTACAATGCTTTAGGTACTTAATGCTTCGAAGAATCTTTAAGCATCTTTTGGAGCCCCCTTCGTATGGTCTTGTCTATTATTCGTATTTTTTTTGGAGTCATTGGCCTCCCAACAAAATGAAAGAAAAAAGTGTTCAAATACAATGCACGCCTTAAGCTGATTTTCCAAGCGGGTAAGCGCTGAGCTCTCTTGAATTTATCCATTTCACCAGCAATTCACCCTGTCTCATTATCCTTTTGACATCTACCTAGATTTTTCAAGCAAATCGACAACAAAAATTGTTCGGGATTTCGCATAGCATTTCTTCAGAATTTAAGATTTTCGTCACGTCACTGTTGCGGGGCGCTTCTTTTTCTTCAAGGAATTAATACGGATATGCACAAGAAAGTCTCAGACAGCACTGTTCAGTTCTTCTCATCAGCAGTTCTAGGACGAGTAGCAGGATACAGCTAATAAAATAATGTTATTAGTGGTATCATTATATTTATTTCATGAATAATGATATAAATAATTTAACTACCAACTATATTTAACTATACTTTAAAACTTAATTAATACAATCCTGTCTAATTAATATTAAAAATTGTAACACCTCAAACAGACACATGAACACTGAACAATTACACAAAGTGCTCCAAATTAATTGATTTAATAATAACACCCAGCGCAATGGCAGCAATAATGATAATGTCAAGTATCGAAGCGAAAAACAATAAATCTATTTTATTTTTGTAGTCATTTATGGGTTTATGTGGGCAGACGGAAAAACTATCTCAATAATGGCATGGCAGTCCGAAATGCTAGGAGCATCAGCATTCTATGATAAAAATGAAAACTAATAAAATTAAAGCAATTTTATGGCGAGAAATAAGCAAAATGCCTGTGATGGTGTCCCGTGATATCAAATCATATTCAATTTAATATTCAATGCGATAAAGACAGCAACAATGAAAAATCATAGGGAACGACCGAGTTGATTGTGTTAAATGTAACCACAATGGGAACAAGCCACTAGAAACAGTACGAGAGTATCAGCCAAATCAGAGCACAACTGCCATTGGCAAGGGAAGTCGGCCAGCCATGACGCCATCTTTCAAAATATTCATTCCTGGCTATTTCCATTTGTCCTGCCCTGCCCCTCTGTCTGTGCGGCTGTCGCTTGTTTTGTCTGTCTGTCTTTTAGCCGCGTGCCTCGCTGATTAGCTGTCACGAAGCTGTGACGAAAAGCACAAATGAATTATTATCACGTTGCGTTGATATAGACTTAAATTATTTGTTACAAAATCAACGAATTGTTCTCCCTCAGTTCACTCACGCAAAATACAGGTTGTACTCTTTAAAGGAATTTTTTGTGTGCTTTATTCTTGATTCTCGCGGGAACACTGTCTATTTTAAATGGTTTAAAATAAAAAGAAATGGTAAACTAATAGGCGCAATTAATACACTTAAAGCAGGCAGCAAGGGGAGGCTGGCCGCTGACTTTTCTTGCGGCATAGTTAAAAGTTTACAGAGACTGAAAACAAATCATGGAATGGCTCTCTACATATGTATATCTATAGTCATTGTTTTTATTAGCCGCAGCTTATAGTTTCTCCATAGTTCAGTTGTTAAAATAAAATAGGAACCCATCACCATGGCTTTTTTAACTATTTCTAGAGCTCAATTTATTTTTATTTCCACGTCATTGGGCCAATTTTGTAACCTTTCCGACGTACAACAAAAGACATGAAAAAATGAGCTCCAATGTCAACCATGGCGTCATTTCCCTTTCGTGATTATCTATTTCTCGTTCGTGGGGGTTTTCATTTTCTTTTGCCTTTTACCTCAAGCTCTTTACAAGCTTTAATGTTTTCCACTTGTGGCATTAATTTCTGCTGTGTAAGCAGATAAATTGCAAAATGTCAAAAGATATTGACAGTCACTGGCATTAATACGGATACCAAGCAAGTCGTTTGCCGGAACCTGGCTCCATTGATGTCAAAATGAGAAGTCCATCAAGTGGCAAAGTAAGTTTGAACACATTATGAATGGTGTTGCGTCCTCTCGATCCGCAAGTCCGCAAGCTGTTGAGGGTTCAGGATTAACTTATGGACATTCGACGAGGAGGAACGTTGTGAGGTGCGCCCTGAGAAAACGCTCTTATTGGACTTTTGTGTTAATCTACATTAATTGTTCTTGTAAAGCTCTTTGGGTAGTTTGTGTAGACTTTTCATTGCACTCGTTCTCTGAACAATTATCACATTCCTCTTCTATCATGCTCCTGGAGACACTATCTCGATCTTGCTTTTGTGACAGACGCCAGTGAAGAAGGCTGGACTCTGAACGAAAAGCGTTCTCAACACTAATACTGTCGTGCATGTTCCAAATGCATTTAGCAAAGATATTGCAGACGTCTATAATGTGAAACTTTGGATTGTTGGACACTTCCGTGGGCTGTGGAATGGTATTCGTACAAACAATAAGCTCAAATAACGATTCACTGAGTTTCTTGAGAGCCTGACCAGAAAATACGCCATGAGTTACGATTGCGTAGATGCTCGAAGCTCCAGCCTCCCTCAGACGTTCAGCGGCTAGGCAAAGGGTATTACTTGTGTCTACTTGATCGTCTATAACCACAACGACCTTGCCACGAACGTTTCCAACCAGTATCATGTCATGCACCTCGCTGGCCTCTCGTCTGTGCTTATGGAACAGAGCCACGTGAGTGCCAAGTTTCTGGCTGATATGGGTTGCGGTTTTCACTGCTCCTTTGTCTGCACCCACAATTACGAGCTCTGTGTAGTCTGGTATAAATCGCTTTATCCATGATTCGATGGCAATATCGGATTGCAGATTGTCGCAAGGTATATCAAAGAATCCCTGAAGCTGTTGGGTGTGCAGTTGCATGGTGAGGACACGATTAACCCCAGCCACAGAGAGCATATTGGCCACCAGCTTGGCCGTTATGGGCTGCTTCCACGAATCCATTTTATCTTGCCTGGAGTATGGAAACAGTGGCATCACTGCCGTAATCGTCTTGGCCGATGCATAGCGACACGTCTGCACCATAACCAGAAGCTCCATCAGCATGTCGTTTATCGGCTCGCAGCTGGTCTGAACTATATAGACATCCGCTCCACGTACCGACTCGAGCAGCTCGAAACGTATTTCACCATTAGGAAATTTCGATCGCAATACTGGATGCAAGTGGAGCCCCAAGCTCTCGGCCACCACATCGGCAAAATTGCAATGCGATGAGCCCGATACCACCACCAGGCGGTGCATTAAATGAACAAAAGTCAAAAGTTACGACTAAATAAATTTTGATTTAAGAAATTTGAAGTGGGTAGCTGGAAAGGCGCCGCTTGCCTAGTTTCAATTGGTAAATTGGTGAGAAATGCGGCATGCCTTGGGCATCTGCACAATTTGAGATAATTAGTCGATGGATGGGGATGTGTGACCGCGGCTTATCATTACTAACTCGCCCTGTAGCCGCAACAATTATGCAGATTATTATGTCCTTGGGCGTCTCAAGGTTTGGTGTTGCGATAATTGAATAGAGAATGATGGCAGATGGAGGTAAACTCAAATAAGATTAACAGGAAAACATTAGTTAGATGCAAGATATTTTATGCATGATATTTTAAAGTTCCTTTCTCGAGCTGAGCATGCCAAGACTTTTACTTCGCTTTCATAAGTTATATTTAATATTCAAAGTTCCTTCTTTGCACTCCCAACAAATTCAATGATGAAGGTTATTCTTGCAATTAAATCATTGCATAACAAAATCCGTTCATGGATACTAGAGCTAATGCCCTATTTTATCATGTCATATTACGGCATGGATGTCTTGGCAACTTTACTAAAGTATCGACTTGTGTGCACCCAAAAGGCTGTTGTTCTCGATGTCCACGATGTGTTCGGCTATGTCTATACGACATTTGATGCTCTACTGACTGCTGCAGCCATTTCACTGATCTTGGTTCATCGCAAAGAAGAGACTGGTATAATAATGCTGCTTATAGGGAGAGTAATTCATCGTTTGCTCTTCTCCATTTGGACCCATTTGCATCACTTTCTGCTTAACGACTGCCTCGATGTGGGCTCTCTATTGTGTCTTCTGGCCACTAGAGTTTATCAACGAGACAGAAACGAATGGCAAAGATTGGATCTCAGAAAGTTCGAGTTGCTATTATTAGCGGGAAGAATAAGCCTGTCCACTATCTATACATCGTGGCTGGAGGAGGGAACTAATGTAAGTTTGGAAAATTAAATTAAAATAATTGAAAAATGAATGCAATTTCCTTACAGACCTTCTGCATCATCCTCTACCTTGCTCTTTTAAGTGCCATGGTTCTGGGTATCAAGTGCAGAATGGCCTCTTACACGACTGTTTTAATCATTATTTATCATGATGTGCTTAGCGTAAACTTTTGGTTCCTGTGGGGCTGGAATGATGCGATACTCTCATTGCAGTACTCAAGCTTGCTGCTGTCCAAAATTGGTGGATTTCTGCTCCTCTCACAGCTGGGTGCCGGCAAATGGTCGCTCGATAAGTTCCAGTCCAGAACTGCTGAAAGAAAGGAACAGATGGGAAACTACCGCCACATCTAGCCATGCAAAATGTTTTTTAACGGATTAAGACTTGAGGGTCATTAGGTCTTACGGAAATCTACTCCTGCTGTGTGGTTTAATTTTACTCTCATTTTTGTGGCTCCCGTTGCTACTTGAATATTTGAGGAATTTAATTCAATTTCGATGGCAAAAACTTTCTCTTCGGCTAATGTTAATTTTTATTTGCGGCAGATTCTTAAATTCCTGCTTCCTTGATGTAAATTGTGTAAAAGTTTCGAGTTCAGCCGAAGTCTTCCCACAACTCTAAGGAAAGGAAATTGAAACTAGCATGAGGATGAATTCTTGAATAAAATGCAACCAAAAATAAAAACCAGGTGTCGACTGAAAAGCCAACACTGTCCTTAATGAGTTCTGGGTACGGACATAGGACCGGCAAAGGGAGAGCCACGGGATATCAGAACAGCGTACAAGAACCGCAAAGGAAGCAGTGACCTTCGCTCTTGACTTAAAGCACATTTGCATAAGCGCTGGGAACGGGCTGGCCTGAGCTGGGCTGGGGAACGATGGCCACGACAGGCGGGCACCACGTCTTGGCGTCTTGGGGTCTTAGGGGTCTTGAGGACTGACCGTCCCAGTAATGCGCCGTGCTCCATCAGGGATGACGAAAGCCCCATTCCAGATAGCCCACAAAGCGTTTCTCTTAATTGAAAAGCATTTGCGATTCTGTCGTATTGACACAAAAGTGGAAAGTAATTAAAGTAATTGTGAAAAAACACATATGAGGGGAAAATATAAGTATCTAATTTTATTTTATGGAAAGTGAGATTAAGGGAAACTTTTAACGTTGCATTATTTTGATTTTGCCTACTAAGTGACGTCTGTGCGATCCAAACTTCTAACCAATTAGACAAGTTTACAAAACTCTGACCAATTATCTTTCAGGTTGTCATTCAAAAGGTTATGGGTAAGAGAACAAGTATGTAAGTAGTTCTTAAGATGTACGTAGATGGCGATGGTGGCGACAGCATTATCCGAGGACATTTGGAAATGTGTTTGATTAAAATGGTGTGTGAGTGAGTGTGCGGTTTGCTGGTAAAGTGAACCATGAACACCAAACAGTGACTCAAGCAAGTATTTGCTCGAGTAAACTAAGCAAATATGCTAGAGTATGTGCATAGTAGCGTCACTCATGGGCTCAGCTCTTTAACCAAACCAAAAGTCAAGGCGTTTACGTTTATTCAAAATAACTTTAGCTGGAGCTTGACCTGATGCTGCTGCTCAGATATGAGGGTAATCAAATATTGCATTTATCAGTAAAATAAACTTAGCACACGTGTAAATAATTTTACGAGACTGTTCAAGCAGGCAACTGCAATAAGAGTATTAGTAAGAGTATAATTTGGAGCTGAAACACAGCTAAAAAATCTTTCTGGACAGAGAAACGGAGGACAGGCTCCCGAAATAATATCTAGTGGCTCTCCCAATTTCAATATTTCTTAAAAACTTCCACAACTGGCAGCCGGAACATGCCCTATGAAAATGGGGTTGAGCTCTTGAAAAGATTATAAAGAAACTTTCCATGGCATCTCAAGCCTCACAAGTTTGAGTATTTGTGCGCTTCGACTAATCCCTCAGTTTCTGTACGCAAGTGGTTTTTACTTTAACTGTGTCTTAGCATCTACGCAACGTCGAACTATGTACATATGTATGTATGTGTACATACGCTATTCATTCGGGAGCATCATCTCGGCCTCTGTGACGTCGTCGCATTACGCAAAAGCGCTTTTACGACTACATTTTAACACTTGTGCACACACGCACACTGAGAGATACTGAGAGCGCGTGGCGTGAGAGAGCTAACAGGTTAAGTGCGACCAGGGATTTGAGCGTGTGCAAATGGCAGAGCAGAGACAATAAAGCTTAAGGACGCGGCGGCGAGTCATGGATGGCCTCTATCATTTCCTTTCCAGTCTATTTTTTTCTTTCTTTATTTTTGTTTGCTTTACAGAATTTTCCAATAAGCCCGACCGCTGGCTTATTTTTGTGACGCCCACATTGAATGGCTTTTCAGCTTTATAAAAAGTCGTTTCTCTTATTTCTCGTTTCTTTATTCGTATTACAAAGTCATTTTCGAATTTACCAATTCAATAATAATGCCAGTTTGCTAGGTTATTAAAATTTCGCACAAACATTCATGCTGACTTTGACTTCTGTGGTGTTTTTTCTTTCATCGGGACGGAGGCTGTTTTCATTTTCTGTACGTTTTTGTAGGCAACAAAATATCAGCGACACGTTCCCAGCAGCGACAATTTATCATAAATATGCATAGGCACATATGTATGGATGTATGTATGTACACACCCTCGTACGTAAAAGTGTGACATATAAATCCAGGTCTTGTGTGTGGAGCTGCCTGCTGGGGAGCTCCCTTGTGCGCGGCTTGCTCTTGTTTATGCCGCTGTCAGCGCTCGTTTAATTCAACATTAGCGCCTTGCAGTAGTCCGAGAGGTGTGCGACGCGACGCGCCGCTTGCCACTGTTGCGACGTCATCGCTGAGGCCGGAACCTTTGTGTGCCCTCGGCCATTTGCACACGCTTTTTCAGGTCGTTCATCTGCTGGTTAGCGTGGTTCTTTTTTCAAATTGTCAAACTGTCAAATAAATTACACGAGAAAACGTACAAAAGATCTGACACAGTTGTGCTTCCTCGGTGGTGGAACTCGACTTTTGTGTGGCGAATGTATAGGCACACATTAGCAAATTATGCGATGAGTCCTTGTGGACCGACTTCGGCTTTCGGTTGACACACAAAAATGAGTTTTAAAATATTTTGAGATTGCGTTGTATAGCCGATATTTTCGTTTTTGTTTATGGTGAATAAATTAAAAATATGTTCATTGGCATGCAGGACTAGGCTACTGACAAGGTTTAGGTGTATACAATATTTCTAGAGTCTCCTAAGGTAACTGTTTAAGGCAGCAGCGCTGTTAGCAGAGAGAGCAGTGAACTGTTGTTAACAGCAAGCTCGCTCGCTGCCCTGATCGCTCTCCATCTCGGCCCCTTTGCTCCCGCGCTGCAGTGCCGCTATCCACCAGCTCTTGCGCTAGCAGATGAGCTTCGCCGAGTACCGTTAGTTTTACTCTCGTTCCACCCCCTAATCGGATTTTGGTATGGGAAAAGTTTGTCTGCCAAAAGCCGCTTACCCTAGTTAAATAAAAGTGCTACAAGAGCTCAGCACTCACATAAGCGCTGGTTGGAATATGCCTTAAACTCGAACCGTTACACGAAGCTCGTCACAAAATGCGCTAGCGGCCCGCCGCACTTGAATTGCATTTTCCTCTGCAAAATCAAATTCAGAATGGGAATCGCAGTTGTACGTTCGCAGGGTCGCAGCGGCACCAAATTCTCAATTTACGCTCCATTCAACGGAATTTGTATCGGTTGGAAGAACTCAGAGTTTAAGCTTCCCTTGCCCCTTTCTGTTATTTTCAGCCTCTTACCTTTTCGACTTACACTTACACATAAAAAGGACAGCTCTAAAGGCCTTCCGAGACGTCCCCTATCCTGTCCTCTTCTCCAGCTCGGTATTTAAATATGCATTGTAATAAAAACCACAAGGAATCTGTAAGTATGTGGAGACTAGAGTCTATAAATATGCGATGAAGGTTGAGCCGTAACCGCACCAAAGCCTCAAAGTATTTTTCAATCAGCGGAAATACTCTTCTACCTTTTTCCTACTTTTTTTGAACTAAAAATTGTCTAAAACTGTAGCCGCGTGACGGCTTAAATGGCGAAGTTAATTAGCAGCAGCTGCTACCTTAAATTTAACTATGCGTCGACTCCTGCCTTCTGTGTCCAGATTCCTGACTGCAACTACGAGTCCTTATCTTCGGCATACATTTTTGGGAAACAAAAATGTTGATCTACAAAAGTCGTAAAAAGTTTAACGTGTTCTCAAACTTGTGCAGAGCCGTCGATGAAATTTGTGGCAGCCGAAAACTCTATAAAACTTTCAAATTGTTGCACGACAAATGACACGCGCTTGTCGCCCATACTCGTATCTGCAGCCTGTGTGGACTGTCGAAAATTTGCGTTTTAATATAAATCTGTTGTCTGTCTGTGTGTCTGTCCATGCTCTTCCCATGCCGAACTTTTGACGGCAGAACCCAAGTGGGTGGATATAAAAATGCTTATTGCCTTTAAGTACGTGATTTCCTTTTCAAAATTTTTGTATACCATTTTTTGTCAATGCTGCGTTGACAGGATGCATTAAGTGTATTGGTTTTTACGGTTGACAACGAGGTTATACAGTTCTAATTTAATTAATGTAATGGGCACAAACAGTACTGCTCCAAAAGGCGACACATTACCATACGATGGACTGCTAATATGTTCTTATACGAAATAACAAAAGAAAAGAAGAGAAAATGGAGCTGAACCTGCAATTCAATCTAAATAAAAGGTAAGCTGAATAAAAATCGAACCTTTTCCAATTTTCTTGAACAATTTCAACTCTCACTTTAATTGATGACAATAAATGAAATTACACAAGGCATCAAGGATTCCCTGCCAACGAACTTATCAATGAGCTCAATTTGTGTTTAACAATCCTTGTTAATCTTTATTGGATGTCAGCCTGACATTCTCCTTTGAGATGTCATTGAAGACAGCAAGGGCACTTGCTTCCGAAGCTTAGACACAATTCCACTTATGAAGGATATGTCCATACATAAGCCCTCTATCAATTACGCTCTGATAATGTTTTAGAGACAACTTGAGTGGAATTGAGTGCCACATAACAGACTATTCTAAGACTATTCAAGGCCACCAAAATTGATTCCTATCAGAGGTACAACAAATATTTTACAATGAAGGCTTTAAAACACTATTTTACCTTTTAAATAAGAGTATGTACCTACTCGTACGACGGTGGTTTAAGAATTGGGATAAGGAAATTGAGGAGCTGAAGAAACCAGTGACTCCAGTTTCGGCGCTGGTTCGTGTCTGTGTGTGGGACCAGGTAAAAACGAGTTTTAATTAAAATGCTTGGCATACTTTGTGGCATGTGCTGAGCTTAAAACTGGCATCTTGGAGCATGTCATCGAGAAAGCAGGAGAGTCGATCCCAAATGTCCCTCCAATTGATGCAACAAAGCCAACCAAAATCGGGAAATAAAACACTTCGCATTCGTATTTTAAATCAAAAAATATCTGAGTCTACTCCAGTCTCTACATAGAGAGAGTCTACTCCTCTACATAATTAATCATAATTCTAATGCATTTTGCAGCGTTGGAGCCCACTAGTTCACACCCACAGCAATCATAACATATTTTGGCTAAAAGCTTGGGCCAAACGCTAATTGAGTTTACTCTGTCCGGGGCTGCAAGGGTGGACCCGCATCCAAATTGATGCGCCTGAGCCCCCACGTGCATAGGGATACGTAAACATCTATACAAACTTTAGATAGTTTTCTGCGTGGGTGGGTAAAATGCAAAATTGCTGAATCGAAAATTGTCACGCGCAATCAGCGAAGGCGGTAAGTGCTGTCCAGCCACGCCCATTTCATTGGCACACCCAAGGATTATGCATGCTGGCCATGGGACGAGCTGCGGGTCAATGTGGATGTGGATGTTGCTGTGACTGTGGCTGTGGACTTGGTAACGCGGTCCACTGCCAAAGCTGCACTCAACATTTTCAAGGCCAGACCTTCCGATTAGACTTGGTTGACAATGAACAGAAGCATTTCCATGGCTCTACAAATCCTCTATAACCCATGCATGTCATCAAGCTTCACCGAAAATATTTAAGTGCCACCACTAAAGCATATTTAGAGCACTCTTTGCAGCACATACTCGTTCCATACAGTTCCCGTATTTATTTTCGCAGTAATTCTCGCGCTTCCAGGAAATGTATCAGCACAGCTGCTGAGAGTTTCAGTCGATTTGCAGACAACGAACGACGAAGAGCGAACAAAAAACTTGTTGACATATTTGTAAAAATGATTCTACGATTTGTGAGCTTTCCATCGGCAGTTCAACAGTTGTTTTGCGCAGTCCAAGTCACGTGCCCAGCTAAAAATAAATTGTATTAAATGCATGTGTGATACGTGGATGCAAGCCATTGCATGGCAACCATGGGGCTATCTATTCTAATTGATTTTTGATCCAAATTTCATAAAACTACAGCATGTAGGGACATATTCGTTGATGACGCTAGGCCCGGTCATAGCTATTAATAAATCCCAAAAGGGCATTCGACATTCACGTTGAAGAGGGTCACGCCCGGCTCACTGGGCTATCGGAATTCGGAATTTGTCAAACAAACTGGCAAAATATTTGCGCGTGTTTGATTTTTGTTTTTTCTTAATTTCTCCTTGAAGTTTGCAAATTGTTTAATATTTATTGTTGTTTGAAAACATTGCAGTCCTCAGTCTTCATTCGCAGTGCGTAATCTTTGCTTGACCATCTCGTGGCCGCAACAGCCAGTAAGAACAGACAATAAGCGAGATGCCTCTGATAGTCTACCACAAATCCTTTGAATAATCCAGCTTACGAACTGACTGCTGATAAAGCAAAAGCCGCACTCATAAATGGAATGGGATAAGTAGTAAGAAATATCTCTGAACCACCGTGAACCATTCTAATTTATCCCGGTATCCATGCACAGATTTCCCCACAGCATATACCTACCGCTGCTACCCCGTAAACATGCCCAGACGGCGGAATCTGACACCATTAATCGCATAACCAGAGCACAAGGACGGACTGGCCTCTCGAGCAAATGGAAAATTGTTATACGCCTCATTTTCCAGCGACTGCGAGAAGCCTGCTTATTATATTTTGATTATTTTTGGCACGCGTGTTGCTTGGCGGTTCTGCGAGCTGTAAACAAATTCCTAAATACGCAGACGTACTGGTCAAGAAGCCCAAGCCCAGGACCAGGCCCAGACCCAGACCCAGACCCAGGCCCTGTTGATGAGTGGGAATAGACATCATGGAGAGGGCCTGCTGCGCGAATCTTTGGTTGCATAATTTTTTCATTTTATTTTTGGGCTCGTTGGCCTGCTTTTGTCCATAATGAGATATCTCTATTCTCCTTTGTTTCTTTCCGTCAGTTTTTTTGTTGTCCATTGTGTTCGGCGGGGTGTGCGTGTGTGTGTGTGTGTGTTCTGTTGTTTTTGCATTTCGCTGAATGCCGCTGGGAAATTGGTACAGCTGAAAGGAACACAAGAAAAGAAGTGGAAATCCACGGAATGCCAATGATGGCGTCGAGGTGGTGGCCTTATTAATTAGACCGGCTCTCTTTTTTTTCCATCTGAGTACTCGTATATGAGCATATGAAAACATCTTCCATGGGGATACAACCCGAGTCAGTGCTGGCAAAATGTTATTTGCATTTGAATGGGCATAATCCAGAACGCAGGCAAGAGACTACGACCTAAAAATACTTTTAAAAAAATACGTAGAAAATCCGAGATCCAAGTAGGCAACTAGAAGTTGATCCAAAATTCAAGCGAATCAGTTTCTCCACTACGTGAAACATTTTTAATAGTCATCGGAGTATTTTTGATTTAGTAAGGCGATGTCCAAGCTGCCGAAAGAGTTTCCCCGCTTGCTCAGACCGGGTTCGGGTGTTCGGGATGAACTGAAGCAGAAGATAGAGGAATTCGAGGCCATGCAGATCGAGCGTACGCAGCTTGATCACGAAATCAGTTTGTTGCGCAAGCGGCAGAATGATGCTGAGGACCGTGTGGCGGAGGAACTGGCTGAGAACGAGTTCCAGAGCTGTCTGAGGGCAGAACAAGTCATGGAGCGCAGCTGTACAGATCTACCAAATATGTTTAATCAGCATCTAGGATGCATTGTCGACGAGTTGGCTGTTAAGTTTAAGCGAATGTTTTACCTTGATATCGACATAAGGAAGCTTACGGCATCTATCGAGAGCGATATTGCTGCGGACAATGAGAAGTTGAAGTCTTTTTAGAAAACAAGTGAGTGAATGCTGGAATTATCTACCAGACCACTCTCAATGTACCCTAAAATACTTATTTCCCATGCTTCCAAATCCCACTCAAACAAAAGTCAATCAAAGACCAAACTAAAACTTGCATTGCCTGAGAGCCCCAAGATGAATGTTCTCCGGCGATGTTGTGCTTTCTTATATAGTTTCTTCAAACAGGAACAGGACGAGGCAAACGAGCCAAGTATAAGTTATCTGCAATAAAACATTTTAATGAAATGATTTACATAGACTGGTAAGTGGAGAGCAAATGCAGTGAGCCAAAAGCCAGAAGTGTCTAGTTTAATTTACCTAGGAATTGGGCCAGAATAATTGTCATGAACTGAACTTTAAAAATTAAACAACATATCAAGCAGAAGGCAATCTTATAATTATCACTGAGTCGCAAGTCCGAAGTCTCGACGTTCATCAATAATAATTGCCCTAACTTCAAAGCTTGACTCAATATTTTCCAGCAGTCCGGAACTCGTTTGTCTTTATTATTTTCAATTGAAGCGCCAGACACACTTCATCCGAGCGTTTAAATATAGAACAAAGCCGTAATGAGACGTTATTAATATCAACTTGCGAGTTGTTTGGTGACAAGCCCCCAAGGCCCGCGAACAAAAAACATTATGCAAAAAAGTATAAAGCAAGAAAAAATGCTTAGATTGATCCCAACCCTTAACAAAACTCAACCGCCTCTTGTCCAGAAAACAAATGACGGTCCATTTTTTTTCGGGTGTTTCTAAGCCAACCATAAATGAAGCCTCCTTTCTTTTACAGACAACGATGGATTTTCGGCCCTTGAAGAACATGCCCGTAACTCGAGTAAATAAAACGAAAAAAGTATATTAAAAAAGCGACTGTAGGGCGTAATAAAAAGCACGAGTCCCCTGTCAATGTTTCGTATTTTTTTATAATTGCCTTAAACATATCTAGTGACAAAAATCAATATGATTCCCATTAAGCTTGTGTTTGTTTGTAATCTTAACCCTTCGGGCTGGTGTGTGGGTCATTCTTTCAGGAATCTACTAAATGACAATTTATTTTAATTAGAAAAACTCAAGCAGGAATTAAAATAGTCTGAATATATTTGTATTATTATAGTTAAATTTTACGTCATTTAAAGGCGTGTTCGAGATAAATACTGAAATTTGTGTGGGTCAACTGTGGGTTTCGGGCCTTTTCAATTTGCTTGCCAAGCAGAAAAGCAAAGCAAAGGCATTCAATAACACTGCCCGACAAAATCAAACTAATTTAAATAATCATTTTTTTCTATGGCTGAACTTTTTGGATAATGTTTTAAGACTGGTAAGTATTTATATTTTTCTGACGATTTCTAAGACCCAAATCTTTTATCAAATATTGGGTTGGTTCCTTCAGAAAAAACCGTGTCGTGTAGTGTAATATACGGCCAGTCCCACAAAGACTTAGATAAGGAAATTTGCACCACAAAAAAAAGCTATCAGGCATGAAAAAAATAATAGGAGGACCAGGCCGTCGCAGACATAAATCAAATAAGATGCGGGAAAAAATGTGCAAATAGAAAAATCAAATAAATACAAATGAGTAAAAAGATGGGGAAAAAAAGGACAACGGTGAAACTAAATACTGAACACAAGATTCAATCAGGGAACTAAAACCCTGGCTTTATGTGTTTTCACATTAGAAGTTCTCCACTTTTCATAGAATTTTGGCTTCGGTGGCGCTGTTCGAGCCGCTCGCATGGAATGCAATTGATGTCTCTTTCATTCAGCGACTCACACAATGAATGATTCAGTGATTCACGATGATTCACTCAGTAATGTTAAGCATGGGCAATTACAAGTGCTCGGGGCACTGAAAGATAATGCGTACACAGGGACACGACTCTCGACTCGACTCCCTCTTTGCCTGGCCAAGCATATTGAATTCCCCGCTGCTAATTTACGTAATTGTGCAACATGGAACATACTTGTACTGCTGTGCAGAGAGAACTAATAGCCAGTCACACGTCTAATTGAAATAATTATGAATACTTGTACTCGTGTCTGTTCGCTGTCAGCGTGTGAATGGCTGCAGTTGCTTCCGGTTGCAGCGGCCTTGAAGACTGAGGGGAGACTGAGATTGATTTATTTTATGATATATATAAATAGCTATGGGAAGTATGAATAAATACTGTAACAATATAGTAACAATGACAAGTCCAGTTGACAAAACTTGGCAGCTGGCAGCATCCTCGGTTGCATCCTCAGATAATTAAATATTTATGTCGCTCGACGGTGGCTGTGGAGTTTGACGGGTTTTTAACACTACATAAATGTTATGAGAGCGCTGGAGCACAAATTAAGTCATAATGCATTTTGTGGCTACCATTAAAACGCGAACGGCTACTATATTGTAAGAGTCCGAGGTCAGCTGCAGGGCATAAAGGAGATTTCCTGCCACCAAATAATGGGGGACCATATAGTGGATTTCTGTGCTCATAAATCGACACTTCAAACGACGGTAAAAGGGATCGTAATGTGCAGGAACGCAAAATCAATTTGTTCATGAAATGTTTAATAAATTGCAACTAAGCTACGCTTGAGGCACACACGGGACACACGGGACGTATGAGTCATTTGAGTAGAGTAGAGAAATTAACACGCATACGACGGCACCTAATTTGTAACTAAATGGGTTGCGTTAATGCCGATTGGGGAGAGGGAGTAGCCAGGAGGAAAGCAACATGTTGTGTAGCTTAAATTGAAAATTACAAAAAACCCAAACGAACGGGCACGGCCAGAGAAACAAGAACAAGTCCCTGCTGGCATGCCACACTGCCTCAATGGTGCTACAAAAGAACGTGACGCGCAGACAGGGAGGAGCTTGGGTTGACGGCGACGCATATGAAAATTTTGCAAGACAATTTATTGCCGTGCTTAAGGAGCGTGCGTATGAAATAATATACAAGAAGAACAAACCTCGTGTAAGACCCAGGGCTATGAGCAGACTCTTCTGCAGAATATTAATGTGTTCTCTTAATAAACCCCGCTGAACCGAAAATGTACTATTGGGTTCAGTGTCTGGCGGTAAGTGGACAAGACCGAATGGGTACTTGTAGATTATTTGTGCCGTGAAACATTCTAGTTTGAACTCCTCTCTCGGCCATTGTTACAAATTTTTGATGGGAAGACAAAACGTTCGATTACACCAAAAAGTCAGAGTTTTCTGTGGAAGATACTTTTACTCATGTTACACAAACATCGCTAAAGTACAGCCAGACAACACAATCTTTTACATGTGTACAAGTCCCGGCACCGAGACGTTGATGTTTACAATTTATTTCGGCCGCAGGATATGCCTCACTTTTCAGAACCCCGAGAACAATGCATACAAATTTATGTACATACATATATGTATACATATGCATACATATTTGAGTGAAATTCTAAACTACATAATGCCAATGGAAACTGAAAACGTTGCACTTGGCAGGCAGCGATCCAGAAAGTGACGGAAGGAGCGGAAGGAGTTGTAGCCAGCGGGCAGACAGTAGACAAAAGCAGTCCGGGCAGTCCGGACACCGACTCGTACTGACCATCTCGGGACTAAGTCACGTCACGGAGCCTTCATTGTTTGCAGAAGTAAGTAAGTGTACATATGTACAATTTGGACGTGGAGGAGCTTCGTGGGAGATGCTGAGGATATCCATGCAGATGTGGCCCGTTTCTTGGGTTATTCTTTTGTTTTTTGCCTCGTTTTGTAATAAATGTGTAAGATTTTATGTATCAGAAGTGGCAGGGTAAACGGGGAAACCTTACGAGCACTTCTCTACCAGCAAAACTATCACACAACAGGGAGCATTTATTTTTTCACAATAAATAGAAATTCGAAGCAATCGAGCGCTGCAGTTTGCCCAAATTGAATTTGTTTTAGACATTGGAGCTTCGTTTGCGATTTAAAGGAGAGCACATACTGAAATGCAAAACAGATTGAGAGCTTCAAGTTTGAAAGATAGTTGAAACGTGAAACTTCCAATTTCATAAGTAGCAAATCTCAATTTATGTTCACCAAAGTCCATAAAACCCAAATGCGGACCTGGCACATAGGAGAAAGTATTTAATTTCTGTTTCATTGACCAATATCCAGAATGGATCAAACACGTAATTGCAAACACTTTAAGCCGCTGCCATATAAGAAGGCGAATGCGCAATATTACTTAGCAGTAAGCAGACGCGGGACATATGCAAATAACTGGCAAAAAAAACACAAAGGAAAGTACAAAAGTCAAGGAAAACTACAAGAAATAAAAAATGCTAATTTAATGTTATTCTTGCTGTTTGCTTTGTCCTTTTGGATTTTCCTGAGTATTTCATTTTTTATTCCGCTTCTTCAGTGTCTTTGCAGCGCTTTTATCTCTCGCTCTGCCGTTTCGGGCTTTGACACAAACAGGAAATGATTTATGAAGAAATGTTCGACGAAACTAATTTAAAAGTTTTCGCGCCCCATCCGAGCACCCATATGCGAATGAGGAAAATATGTATTTATTTCTGGGGAAACCTATACAAGGCGTGTATAGTCCTCCCTGCTAAAAGAAGGTTGATGCTAGCCGTCCCACAATTATCTTTGTACTCGATGTCGGTATTTGAATTTGTTTTCTGTACTCTATTCAATCAACTTATAATTTCACCATTGGAGATTTCACCATTTTCAATGCTCCTTTTCCCCTGCTTTCTGGGTGCCTGTGTGAAACTTTCGCTGTTTGAATATTTAAGTGAAGATTTTGAGTTCGCTCACGCTCACAAGAGCAATATTAAGGAGTTCCATTTGTTGAAATGGACTAACTCTGACCCCAGGCAGTCATTAACTAATTGCAAAATGAAGAAATTAATAAAAAATCAAAATCGCATTACACCACACACACGTATTCGGTAAAAAGCAGGCAATCAATTTGATTGTATTATATTGTATCCTAAGCGGGGCACTCCACCCCACTGCAGTCGCCCCATGACGCAAAA